TCTAAATAGTATATTTGTATTTTTCCTGAATTTAAAGAGGATTGCTCCTAAAACATAATGTCAGTTTAAGGGATTTTTCTTTCTATCCCTAGTTCTTGCCTAATGATATTGAAATTTCATTGAATAATTTTTCTGAAACTTTTGACATGACGACATGGTTTTTATTTAGATTTTTAGTTTGGTGAATTACATTAATAGTGATTCTACTGTTGAACTCTCCTTATGTTGCTATGACAACTGGCCATTATATGCTCCTAAAATATGTACTTTTGAATTTTATTCTAATTTGTAATTTAAGATTTGTGTTCATAATTGAGATGTGTATAAAATTTTCTTGTCCTTTCCAGTTTTAATATCAGGATTATACTAGGATCATAAAATGAGTTGGGGAGCTTTTCTTGTATTTTTATTCTCTGAAACAGTTTGTATAACATAGAAATTATCTTTTTTTGGATGTTCATAGAACTCGTTCATACAATTATCTGGATCAGATGTTTTGCCAGAGGAAACCTGAATCCAAATTCAATTTTGTAAATGGTTTGGTAGGCAGAATTCTGAGACGCCCCCAAGGTTTCCATCCCTGTCTGTGGTCCTCTCCTGTTGAGTGTGGGAAGGATTGTAGATATGATATCACTGCCATCGTTAGTTTACTAAACAGTTGACTGAGTTAAATAAAAAGGACCAACCTAATTAGGTGATCGTTTTAAAGGGACTGAGCCTTTCATAAAATCAGAGAGTTTAGAGGTGTGAGATGGACTCTTGAGGGCCAAATGGCGAGGACCTGAGCATGGCTGCTAGGAGCTAAGAGAGGCCCTCCAGCTGACAGCAAGACAGCGGAACTCCATTCCTACTGCAAACAACATGAAGGGGCTGGGAAGCATGACTTGCCCTAGATTAGCCTCTGGATGAGGATGCAACTGGCTGACACCTTGATCTCAGCCTTGTGAGACCCTAAGCAGAGAAGCTAGCTGCAGTGTGCCCTGACTTTGACCTGCAGAGCTGTGAGCTAATAGGTACTATTTCAAGTTACTAAATTTGTAGTAAGTCTCTACACAGCAATAGAAAACTAATACAATTGTTCATGGTTTATTCAAGTTTTCTACTTCTTCAGTTACTTTTGATAATTTCCATTTTGGGGGGATATATCCATATTATCAAAATTGTAACATTGACATAAAATTGTTAATAATATTCTTTTGTGATTCGAAAAATCTCTCCTGTCTGCAGTTATGTTCCCTGTATATAAATACATTAACGTACACTTGTATACATGTGTGTGCATACATGCCCATGTGTGCAAGTGTCATGTGTTTTTGTATATGTGTGTATCTGTGTACAGGTGTGTACAGATATGTGCACTCTCTTTTTCTTGATGATTCCTGCCAGAAGCTTGTTCATTTTATTCAACTTTCAGATTCAGCTTTCTATTATTTCTCTATTTTCTTTTTCTTTTTTATTTTTTTTAAGATTTTATTTATTTATTTGACAGAGAGAGACACAGCGAGAGAGGGAATACAAGCAGGGGGAGTGGGAGAGGGAGAAGCACGCTTCCTGCGGAGCAGGGAGCCCGATGTGGGGCTCGATCCCAGGACCCTGGGATCATGACCTGAGCCGAAGGCAGACGCTTAACGACTGAGCCACCCAGGCGCCCCTATTTCTCTATTTTCTGATTGAACCATGTCTACACTTAACCTTTATTTTTTCCATTTTTCTCTTTTCTGTAAATTTACTTTGCTATTCTTTTTTAAGATTCTTGCATCTCTGTGCTTGGTTTATTTATTTTCAATCTTTAAAAAAATAAAATCATTTAAGTTTATAAATTTCCCCTTAAACATCACTTTAACTGAACCCCACACATTGTAATATGTAGTATTTTCATTGTTGATGGAATCTAAATATTTGGTAATTCCTTTTTTTACTTCTTTAGTTAACGAGTTATTTAGTTGTGCATTTTGGGGGTTTCTATACATATGAATTTTCTTTTACAGTATTTTTTATAATTGTATTCTCATTTAAATACATTTATTGAATAGCAGAAGTGTAATAATGTGTGTTACTAATTCTTTGAAATTTGCTGAGGGTTTTTTTGTGATGTAGGATATGGGCAATTTTCTCTTTTTTAAAAAAGATTTATTTATTTATTCAAGGCAGGGAGGGGCAGAGGGAGAGGAAGAGAGAAACTCAAGCAGACTCCTCACTGAGCGTGGAGCCCATTGTGGGGCACCATCTCACGACACTGAGATCAGACCTGAGCCAAAACCAAGAGTTAGATGCCCAAATGACTGCACCACCCAGGCACCCTGGACATTGGCAATTTTCAAAGATAGTCCCATGTACTCAAAAAAGGCTACGTTCTCTATTTGTTAGGAGTAGAGTTTGATAGATAGATGAGACAGGAAAGATACAGGAGATTAGAACTGTATAACACATCAAGGCTGCCAATTTTTTTAAAAGATTTATTTATTTATTTGAGAGAGAGAGCGTGCACACGTGTGAGTGGGAGGAGGGGCAGAGGGGGAAAGAGAATTCTTAAGCAGGCTCCATGCCCAGCATGGAGCCCAACTTGGGGCTCGATCTCACGACCTTGAGATCATGACCTGAGCCGAAACCAAGAGTCAGACGCTTAACTGACTAAGCCACCCAGGGGCCCCAGAGCTGCTAATTTTGTTTTAATCCTATGTAGCCTTACTGAATCTGGTATTCAATCCTTCCATTCTGATAGGAGCTTTGCTGAAATTTTCGACTGTGGTGGAATCTGGGATGATGACTTCTTTTATATCTGAAAAATATGTTTATTTTGCCCGCACTCTTCATTGACAGTTTAGCTGGATATAAAGTTCTAAGGTGACTATTACTTTCTGCTGCTCTTTGGAGGTATAACTGGATTGTCTTCTGACACATATTTTTGCCAAAGTGAAGTTTTCTTTCCTCTTAATTATCCTTTTCTCTAGATATTTTGTCTTTTCTTTTTCTTTCTGGTAATTCTAAGGGTGTCTTTTTATGCTTGATGTTCTGCAGTTCCTCCCTGTTTCTAGTTGGATGTACTTTCTATATTTGATTGGTACTTGTAGTGCACTTTGAATTTGAGAAGTCATTTTTAATTCTGTGAATTTCTCACCTGCTACCTCCTCAAATGTCGCTTCTTCACCATCTCCCCTGTTCTGTTCCACAGCTCACACCGGATGTGTGCTGGGCATATGATCTAACCTCTGTTTGAATCAATTTCTCTCTCATGTTCCTTCTTTGGCTTTTTGATGTCTGTGGGTGAGTTCTTCAGTACTAGCCTCTGTACTATTTTCCAAATCATTAATGCTCTTAAACCGTGTCTTCAGCCCAGAGTGTAATTTATTATTGATATTATTTTCATAACTATTTGTTTATTGACAAAACTAGCTAGTCTTTAAAATCCCTACCTATTTCTGGCTGTGTTTGTTTCATAATTTGTTGATGTCATCAGAACAAAATTAATCTTCCAGTAGTCAATTTTGATAGTTGAATGTCTCTATTGGGTTTCTTCATGTGCTCTGGACTTTTGGTTTGAATAGATTATTTTTTGGTTGCCTCTCTTTTCCTTTCCACTGAGAGTTTCATCTTATTTTGACCATAGTTCCATCTCAATTTCTATTCTCACTGCCACGTATCTCGAGCAGGGGGGCACAAAGCCTTCTTCACCAAGAGTCCAGGATACAGAGCTGCCAGGATTGTTCGTGTATTGAATGTAAAGTGAGGGGAAGGGAGGAGTCAGGGGTGAAGCCCTGGTTTTGGCTGAAATAACAATTGACGAACAGTGCTCCCTTAGTGGGTATTGGGGAAGAAGCAAGGCTGGGGGTAAGAATCAAAGTTCTTAGTCACCACAATGGAACAGGTCTGGCCTACTTAAGCATTGAAATACATGTTTCAACACTTTTAAACATTAACGTTTAAAAAATAGTTCTTTAATTATATAATGCTTGATACACTTTTTTGATAACCAAGTGGAAATGTTAAAAAGGCAGCTGGATGTATGAGTCCTCAGTTCTAGATTTGAGTTAAAGATGTGCGGTTATGAGTGATAAGCATGCTGTGGTATTCAGAGCTATGGCGTAGATTCTGTTGGGAGTGAGCCCCAGGGCATCCACTTCTCAAGTCTGGTGGACGAGGCAAAGGTGGCAGTCGAGACCTGGAGGGGCTCCTGAAGAATTCGAGAGAAATGAGAGAGTTGACAAAAGGGCAGAGAAGAAACTGTTTAGAGAGGGAGACTTGACCTCCGGAGTTGGCAAGACACAGGCTTGAATGACGTATCATGGAAGGGTGCGGGTGAGAGCCTAATGGGGCCAGGAAGATAAGGTGGTGGGGGAGACCCAGGACTGACACTCTGATTGAGTTTGGTGTGAAGGGAGCAGAGGAACGTGCCGTGCTGAGAGGTAGATATCAGAGCTTTTGTTTTTTTTGAAATGGGAGACATTGGAATGTTTTCTGCTAATGGAACTGATTATGATGGCTTTCCTGAGTCCCCTGAACCCTATCTTCCACCTTCCCTGCCCCACCTCACTGTTCTCCTGAAAGAAGGTGAAGAAGGGTGTGTGTGGTGCCTGCTCAGGAATCTCAGTCTCTGTTTTACCCCTCTTTCCATTCCTCACCACCTCTTATGAGGCTGTTGGCAGTGCAGTTGCAGTTGGTTTGGGGACCTGGTTCTGGCTTGGATGTAGTTGTAGGGCAGATTCAAGGCCAGGCCAGGCGCCAGAGACCAAGTGTCCTCTCAGGGTGATTCCTTCGAGCTGGAGGGATGGTCACGCTGGAAACAGCCATTGCTAACATTACTTTGGGGACGTCTGAATTGAGTCCCTGCCTCCTCCTGCCTGGCAAGTCTCATACCCTGTGCCAGCCCTGTGTTTGGACAGTGGAGGACACAGGCAAAATGGTGTCACTGTTCTTGGGAGACAGGACATAGGGTGGTGGGGCATATGGTCTCTCACCTGAATATGGAAGCCTTTAGTTCCCTCCTTCTCTTTTCCTGCCAGGATCCTGGCCACGGCTGGCACTGACTTTGACCTGCGGACCCTGCGGGCTGTGCGCGTGCTCAGGCCCCTGAAGTTGGTGTCTGGGATTCCGAGTGAGTCTGGCAAGAGCAATTACGCCAAGCCTACCTGGATCACTAACCTCCTCCCCCAACTCCACCATGGCCATGGACACAGTTAAGCCCTAACCATTGGCCCCTTTGGCTTTGGTGACTCTAAGCTCAGTGCTCCTGACCCCCGGGAACCAGGTGTGAAGGGGCCTTGAAATTCTCTGTGAAAGCCCAGAAAGTGGCCCTGTTGTTTTGCCCTGACTTGGCTTCCCCAGGTGGAAGCTTTTCTTCTCCTCATATCCTCTGCTATATTTCCAGCTCTTTGCTTCTTTTTCTCGGGTTAAAGTACAGATAAGAGATTGAGAAGGTGGTGGGCAGGATGCCTGAGAAGATAGCCAGAGGCTGCAAAGGACCACCTCTCTTGGCTCAGGCTTGGCAGAGCCGTGGACAACTGGGGCCAGGTTAAGACATGCTCCTGGATTCAGCTGCTCAAGGAGCCAAGCCTGGGCAGGAGGATGGCCAGGGTTACCTTGGTGTTGGGTTTCTCTCAGAGCCCCAGGTGGGCAGGGACCTAGGGCTGTGTTCCCCTGAGGCCACTGTAGGGAAGCCCCCATTCTGCCCCGTGACCCTGCCAGGCGAAGGCAAAGGCCTGTATCTAAGATCTGGGGCCAGGTGGGAAGGGGGTCATGGGGTTGAGCTTCCTCTGTGTGCTGAGTTCCTTTGGCCTGGACAGACTCATGCCTCATGGCTAGTGGTCCAGCACTCCCGGGAGCGGGGCCCTTGCTTCAGGTCTCTAAGGAATTGGGCCTGTTGGGAACTCCTGTACTTCCCTCCCAAGATCTCCTGCTCTCAGCCTCCAGAATCTTCTGCTTCTCTCTCCCAGCACCCCCTCACCTTTCCCCTTAGGACTCTCTGCTCCCACTGCCCCCCCCAGAGCCCTCCATAGGTCCACATCTCTCCCCAGACTTCATACTCTGACACCCCACACCCTGCTTCTCCCCTGCTTTATGACATTGCTCAGTCCACTTCCCTCCAAGACTTATGTTTGGTCCCCTATCCCGAGGACTCTCCTGTAAGTGCATGCTCTTCCCTCAAGACTCAAGCTTCCCCATACTCCCTGCTCCATCCCCTACTTTGAGGGCTCCCAGCTCAGCACCTTGCCCCAGGACCTCCAGTGCTGCCCAGCCCAGGCTCTGGCTGGTCTGCCCACACCCTACCCAAGCTCCTGCACTGCCCACTCTGCCCTGACCTGCCCTGCCGTGGCTGCTCTGGCCCAGGTTTGCAGGTGGTGCTCAAGTCCATCATGAAGGCCATGGTTCCACTCCTGCAGATCGGGTTGCTTCTCTTCTTCGCCATCCTTATGTTTGCGATCATCGGCCTCGAGTTCTACATGGGCAAATTCCACAAGGCCTGTTTCCCCAACAGCACAGGTGAGGCCTGGCAGCACCCCTCCGACTCATTCATCCTGGAGATAGGCCCTGCCCTAGGTGCCAGGTGAATGGGGTGGAGCTTATGTTCTGGTTGGGGACACACACCGCAACCTGGAAAACACAAATACGTGAAGAAACACATACACACAATGATCACAGATTGTAGTAACTTCTAGCAAAAAACAACAGGAGAATTTGCAATAGAATAATTTGGGAGCCTGCTTCACAGAGACCAGCCAGGGGAGGCCTCTCTCCTGAGGTGACCACCTAGCAGCGATCAGAGGGCAGTGAGAGGGATTGCTGGGTGGCCACTGGGCCAGAGAGCTCCAGTTACAAGGAACAGTGCGTGCAGAGGCCGGAGTGAGGAGCAGCGAGAACAGAGGGGAAATCATGCGGGCTTCGTGGCTGTGGTGGGAACTCTGAGTCTTATTCAGAGAGAAGTCAGGAAGGTGGTGGAGGGCTCTGAATGAGGAGTGATGTCATCTCATTGTTCTGGGTGCTCCAGGAAGGCAAAGGCAGAAACAGGCTCGAGTAGGAGGTTAATATCTCCATCCAGGGGAGATGATGGCTGTGGCCAGGCTGTTTTGGTGGAGGTGGTCAGAATGGGTCGGGTTCTGGGTGTATTTTGCAGTGAGGCAGATAAACCATATGATCATCTCAATCGATGCAGAGAAAGCTTTTACTAAAATTTAAATCATTCATGATTTTCAAAAACCTCTTATCATGGCTGGTGGAAGCATATGGACTCTGCAGGGGCCAGTGCAGTGAGGCCGGGGTGCTGCAGCACCCAGCCATCCTCTGGGCACATGTGGGTTGAGCTCTGAGCCAACCTGCCTGATGAGCAGGGAACGCAGTGGCTGACTCCAGCTTGGTACTGGCTCCGGAGTGACAGGCAGATCTGCATGTCAGGAGTCTTCGTGGTGGCTTGGCTGTGAGAGAAAGGAGAAATTAGGGTGGTAGTGGAAGGGAGAATCAAATGTTAGGACTTTGTCTTTTTCGATTTTCAGGTGAATATGTAAACAGTGAGGGGCAGGTTCTAGTCGAGAGGAAGAGGTTGGTCTGAGCTCAGGGGAAGGCAGATCGTAGGCAGGGGGAGAGAGTCGGTGCACGGAGGGATGGTGGGAAGTTGAGGGAGGATTTCCATTGGTGCTTGATTCCCGTGCGCCACCCCCCACCCCTGCCGCCGAAGTCTCTGTGGCCCAGGAATCCCAGCAGGGTTGGAGAACTTGGTGTTTCTGGGCTCAGGGTCTGTTGCTTCATTCTTCTCTTTACAGATCCAGATCCAGTGGGTGACTTTCCCTGTGGCAAAGAGGCCCCAGCCCGGCTGTGTGAGGATGACACTGAATGTCGGGAGTACTGGCCAGGGCCCAACTTCGGCATCACCAACTTTGACAATATCCTGTTTGCCATCTTGACGGTATTCCAGTGCATCACCATGGAGGGCTGGACTGACATCCTCTACAACGTGAGTTGCGTCTTGGCTCTGGGACTGTGGATGGGCCCTGGAGCTCCTGGGTCTCATTTGGGGTGATGTTTCTGACCTAAGAGCCTCTGCCCAGTCCCAAGCTCCTTTGTCCACCGTTGGATGAAATATAGGCCTTTCCTTCAGATGGCTCCACCAAGGGCCCACTATCATTGCTGTCTACTCAAACTCTGGACCTTGGTCCTAGAGTCTCCAGGACAGCTTCTCGTCTGAAAGTAACAGTGAGGGCCAGGCGGACACTTCCAGAGATGCTACGGCTGATGGTCAAGATGGCCGCAGCATGACCCTCAGGCTCCCTGCAAGCTTGTTGCGAGTTAGGCCCTGCGTGAAGGGCCTCATCCCTGTTAACTCATAGAATCATCTCAAGAACCCCATCACACAAGGAAGAGACTGAGGCATGGAGAGCTTGTTTAATTTGCTCAAGGTCCTGAGACTAGCAGCAGCTTAGCACTGCCACCCCTGCTGGGTTTTCTGGATGGAGTGAGGGGAAGTGGAGCCTGCTGGCCTCACCTTGTCCCTAGGCTGTGGGATGAAGACAGAGCAGGGCAGGGTTCAGGGCCGCACGGAGCTGGCGTGTAGGGAGACCTCTCTGATGACGCTGGGATTGTGGGGTCAGAGCATGTGTCCTGCGCATTTCTGTCTTCTCTGCTGCATCTCTCTGGTACTGTTTGCTCTTGACCCTCTTGCCCATTAGAGTGCCTGCCCATCACACTGGCAGTCTGGGTTGGTGTCCAGGACAGAAGCTGATCTAAGGCCCTTGCCTGGTGACCCGTCTTGCTCCCCCATCTCCCCTCCACCTGAAGCTCTTCTTGGAGGGCTCTACCCCGAATGCTTGAGCAGAACGCTGCCTCTTCTTTTATGTGACGAAAGCCCTAGCTACCTTCCACCCCCCATAGCCCTGTGAGCCGCCAGGGCATGAGCACAGTTAAATTAGGCCCTCAGGGGTTTTGGGAGGTAGAGAAAGAAGGTACACACAAGCTAGGAGTCTCGGAAGGTTTGTCTGGAAAGGTGTGGCTAGTAGATGGCTGTGTTCTGGACAGCTATAGAGTGTGCTCTGTGGGCTACTGTGGGAGGAGGACCCCGCGGTACAACATACTTCATGTTGAGCCTGCCACTTGTGAGCTGAGGTGGGGTTTGGGCTACCAGCCCCTGGAGCCCCATGATCCTCAGCTTCAAGGAGCCTGCGGAGGAAATGATGGTGGTGTGATGGGTGGGAGGGAAGGGACAGACTGGGACCCTTTGCTCTGTGCCTTCTCCCTGGGCTCATAAAGACCCAGGTAGGTCTCAGGGCTGGGCGTCCAGCAAATGCTTGGTAAAGCTGGCACAGGGTAAGGATGAGGAGGTAAGGAAAAGCTGGCCCAAAGTCCCTTGAACCACATCCCTCTTTGAGTGGGGGTCGTGTCTCATGACAGGCTCTTTTTAATTGAGGAAAAGAGGAATGGGCACAAAGGCGGTTATGAGGAGCTTGGCTGTTCTCTTCCTGCAGCCAATCAAAGAATAATTTCCCAAAGACGGACCCTAAAAATAGCTCTGAGCTGGCCACATCCCTGCCAGCCCCACCTGAACAAGACTGCTAGAACAGGTTTCTGCAGCTTTCGGTGCCCACTGGGACTTGGCCATTGGCCCAGGTGACTCAGACTGGTGGGTCTGTGCCCTGTGGGGGAGGGGCTGGGCAGGAACTTGACCCTGGGGCAGGAGGCACTGGTCAAGAGAGCCACAGAGGATTCATCAGACACATATTTCCATGGAACCCATTCTCTGGGCACTCCCCGAGATGCTCCTTGTGCAGTGGCGAGCAGGAGGCCTTCCATAAAGGCCTAATAATGGCAAGTGCTTTGAAGACAACAAAGGAGGATGAGGAGCAAGGAGTGATGAGCTAGAGAACCTTGTGAAAGCAAGGCCTGGCAAGGTCTGGAAGCCAGACATACAGGTGCTATGGGATTGTGCGTTGGGGGTTTGGCAAGGCATCAGGATACAATGACTGTGGTGAGCTATGAGGCTGGTGCCCAGAGCAGGTAGGTGGCCATGATCTTGGTCCACTCTCCACACTAACAGGGAGGGTTGTTGCAAATCAGACAGGGTTTTTAAAGGGGGTTCTTTGGAGAGAGAACATACCCTTCTCCTCCAGCCCAGTGAGTGCGGCTTTTATGGCCGTTTCAGACATGCTCCTTGAATGTGGAGGCTCAAGACAGTGCCTGTACGTCGAGGGCAGGAGCCATTTGCCCGCAGCAGTGGGGCGGACAGAGAGAGATGGAGAGAACCCTTGATGTTGGGAACAGGGGAGGAGGGTGTGTGAGTGCTTCTCATGGACCGGCTGTAGCCAGGGGGTAGTGGGCAGCCTGGAGCCCTTTTAAATTCTGACCAGGGGGATGATGAAGTCTCAGCAGAGAACATCTGTTTAGAATGACTGCTGAAAAACTGGCAGTGGTGGGTGGGGTAGTTCTCTGACTGAGGGAGAAATGGCTTGCCTGCAATTTGAAAAGTAAGTGAAGTCAAATGGGTCCTAAAAGAACCCAGAGAAGTGCCTTGTGAGAGACAAGTCAGCAGGAAATTTCTGTCAGGCGCAGAGAGAAGAGATGATCTCAGGACAGCGCCTCGCGTGGCACAACTCGCCTGCCCCCTCCTCCCCCTCCCCTGCTTGGAGGGTGTTGGGGTCAGAAACCCAACAGCAAGCTGAGGAAGAAGGAACAGTGTTAGGCGTGGAGGGGCAAAGAGGGACCACGCCCCATCTCCCCGTGAAAGCCGCCAGCTGTGGCAGGCAGCTGAAAGAGTGGATATTCTCAGCACAAAGCATGTTAAGTAGTTTATTGCCACCTGGGACCGGACACTTAATCACTGAATTGAGACTGTTTTCTACTTGAAGTGATTGTAGAACTTCTATCACCCAGGAGTTATCAGAAAAGTCACAGGACTTAACCAAATTTTTATCCAGGAACAGGAATATGTTCAAAGGGACAGTAGGAGGTAAATAAAGTTGGTTTACGAGTAGATACATATGGTTTTGCATATGCCCACTGTACTGGTTACATAAAGATCTGAAGAAGGGGCGTTCAGATATATGGGTGCAAAGGCTGTGTGTTGAGCACAGGGAGGGCTTGCTCGTCAATTCGGTGTGCAGTGTGAGGGAAAGAAGAACCAAAGAGGGTGTGACTTCAGCCCTGGGAGAGGTGGTGCCTTTTCTTGAGAAGGGAGACTTGGGAGCGAGATATTTGCTGTTTTGTTTCAGTGGAGTAGTAGTGGAGCCCAAGGACTCTGCTTTGACCACATAATGTTTCAGAGAACTATTTTCACTCAAGGGGGATGCTGAATATACAGCTGGGTATGTGACAGGGACCTCAGAGGAGACGGCAGGGCTGAGGATGTCTGAGGTCATGGATAGTGTTCAACATTTTGAGAGAGGATGTGATTGTCTCAGCAAAGTGTGTGGAAGGAGAAGCAAAGAAGGGCAAAGACTGAGCCCTCTCCAAACTTGGCTGTTGGCGGAATTCCAACATTCAGAAGCCAAGTAGGAAAGAAGGAGCAGGCAAAAGAGACCAAGGTGGAGCTGTTGAGGCAGGGTAGGAACACCACCATGAGCTGTGTTGGAAGTAGAGCCAAGAAAAGAGTTTTCAGAAAGTGATCAACCAAGTCAGATGTTGCTGAGAGGTCGAGAAAGATGCTGCTGAACTTGACAAGAGCAGTGTCAGAGGTGGGGATAAAGTCTTGGAGTGTGCAGGAGAAGGCAGTTTGGAATGAGGATGGCAGATAGAGTCAGCTCTTGCAAGGAGTTTCCCAGTAGTGGGAGGTAACTGCAGGGAGATATGGGGATTGGCTGTTTTTGTAAAACTAAACTTTGTTTGAGATAATTGAGGGTTTACATGCAGTTGTAGGAAATCTAAGGAGAGGTCCCATGTATCTTCTAATGATACAAGAAGGCTTGTATTCCAACCAGAATGCTGACACTGACACAGTGGAGATACAGAAGGTTGCAACCCAGCAGGAACCCCTGTAGCCCTTCTGTAGCCACTCCCACTTCTCTCTTACCCTGCCCCCCCATCCCTGTGAACCACTAATCTGTCTGCCATAGCTGTAATTTGAAAGAGGTTATGTAAATGAAACCATACTGTGTGTTACTTTTTAGTATTGGCTATTTTCACTCACGTGATTCTTTGGGGATTCATCCAGATTACTGTGTGTCAGTAGTTGGCTTTTTTTTTTTTTCAATCCCTGAGCAGTCTTCTGTGGTGTGGTGGACTTTATACTTTGCTCAACACTCACCCGTTATAGGACATCTGGATTGTTTCCAGGTTGGGGCTATTGTGAACATAGCTCTTCTACACATTTGTATACAGGTTTTCGTGCAAACATAAATTTTCATTTCTCTGAGATAAATGCCTAAGAGTACAATTTCTGGTTTGTATAGCAGTTGCATGTTTAGTTTTTTAAGAAATTAAAAATTTCCCAGAGGACTGTATCCTTTTACACTCCTGCCAGCAGTGTGTGAATAATGTAGCATCCTCACCAGTATTTGATGTTGTCATTGTTTTTAACTTTAGCCATTCTGGTAAGTGTGTACTGATGTGTCATTATGGTTTTAGTCTGCACTTCCTAATGGCTAACGATGTTAAGCATCATTTCATACTTATTTGCTATTCGTATATCTTCCTCAGTGAAATCTCTCTTCATATCTTTTGTCCACAGTCTGTTTGGATTGTTATTTTACTTTGGAATTTTTATATATTCTAGAAACTAGTTCTTTGTCAGATATGTGGTTTGCAAATATTTTTTCTTAGTCATTAACTTGATTTTTCATACTCTTCACCTGGTCCTTCATGGAACAAGCATTTTTTTTCACAGAACAAGCATTTTTTATTTTGTTAAAGTCCAGTTTATCAATTTTTCCTTTTGTGGATTGGGCTTTTGGGGTCAAGTCTAAGAACTCTTTGCCAACTCCTAAATTCTGAAGATTTTTGCTTGCTTTTTTAAAAGTAAGCTTCATTGTTTTACATTTTACATGCAAGTCTGTGATCCATTTTGAGTTAATTTTTGTATAGAGTGTGAGGTTTAGGTTGAGATTCTCTCTCTCTCTTTCTTCCTATCTCTCCCTCCCTTCTTCCCTTCCTTCTTTCCTCTCTTCCTTCTTTACCTTTTGAGCTTATGAATGTCCAATTACTCTAGCACCCCTTGTTGAAAAGCCTATATTTTCTCCATTGAATTGCTTTTGCACCTCTGCCCAAAAAGTTGGGTGTATTTTGTGTGGGTCTGTTTTTTCTTTTTCTTTCCTTTTTAAAGCAAGCTCTACACCCAATGTGGGGCTTGAACTCAAAATACTGAGATCAAGAGTTGCCTGCTCCACTGACTTAGCCAGGCAGATGCCCCATAGGTCTGTTTCTGTTCCAGTGATCTTTGTGTCCCTGTCTACCAATATCACACAATCTTCATTACTGTAGTTGTGCTGTAAATAAATCTTTTAAACCAGGTAGACTGGTCTTTCCCATTTTATTCTGTTTGGGAGAATGGGCATCTTTACTATGTTGGGTCTTCCAATCCATGAACATGGTATATCTCTCAGTTTATGGAGATTACCTTTGATTTCTTTAATCAGCATTTTGTAGTTTTCGGCATACAAATCCTACATATGTTTCTATGCCTTCCAGCTCCTTTTCCTGCCTTAGTGCACTGGCTGAAACTTCCAGCATTATATTAAATAAGAATGGGGAGAAGAGATATATTTCTATGTTCCTAATCTTAGGGAAAATCATTCAGTTTTTTACTGTTAAATATAATGTTAACTGCAAGTTTTTTTGTTTTTTGTGGATGCCCTTTATCATATTGAGGCAATTCCCCTATTCCTACTTTTCTGAGAGGTTTTATCATGCATGGGTGTTGAATTTTATAAAATATTTTTTCTGCATATGATAATGTGATTTTTTCTTTAGTCTGTTAACATGGTAGATTACATTGACTTTTGAATTTTGAAGTGGCTTGACATCCTTGGAATAAACCCCACATAGTCACGGTATATAATTATTTGTATATATTGCTTAATTCTATTGGTTAATATTTCATTAAGGATTCTGGCATCTATATTCATGCGGGCTTTGGGTCTGTGATTTCCTTCTCTTTTGAATTGTCTTGTCTGGTATGGTATGAGGGCAATACAAGATTTAGAAAATGAATTAGGAAGTGGCTTCTCCTCTTCCATTTTCTAGAAGAGTTTATGTAAGTGGTATTATTTCTTTTTTAGAGAATTGGTAGAATTCTACAATCTGGGTCTAGAGATTTCTTTTATGGATTTTTTTTCCCACTTTTGTTGAAATATAATTCGCATACCATGAAATTCACCAATTTAAAGTATACAGTTAATGGCTCTTGTATGTTCACAGGGTTGTGCAACCATCAGCATTATCTAATTTTTGAAGATTTTTGTCCACCAAAAAGGAACCCTGTGTCCATTAGCAGTCACTCCCCATTCTTCCATCCTCCAGCCCCTGGCAACTGTTAAGATATTTCTGTCTCTGTCTATTAGTCTATTCTAGACATTCCCTATAAATGGAATCATAGTGGGTATGTCAACTTTTGTGTTTCTAAGGTCCGTCCATGTTGTAGCAAGTGTCAGTATCTCATTGCTTTTATTATCAAATATGATTCTATTAAGTGAATATACCATATTTTGTTTATATTTCATCAGTTGATGGAAATTTGGGTTGTTTCAACTTTTTTACGTTATGAGTCATGCTACTATGAATAAATGTACACAAGTTTTTGTGTGGAATATATTTTTATTTCCCTTATGTATATGCCTAGGAATGGAATTGCTAGATCATATGGTAACTTTGTGTGTAACCTTTTGAGGAGTTGCCAGACTGATTTCCACAGTGGCTGCAGCACCCTACATCCCAGCAGGAGTGCACAAGCATTCTAAATTCTCTACATTCTCATCAACACTTGTTATCGGCTGTCTTTTTAATTTTAAGCAGCCTAGTAAAATTAAAATTTAATTTTTAAAATATTCATTCATTCATTCATGATATAAGTGATTTCTATTATTTTCTACAGGGTTTTACTAGTTTCAGGTGTACAATATAGTAATTCAGCACCTCCATACATCACCCTGTACTCATCATAACAAATGCCCTCCATAATCCCCAACCCCTATTTCACCCATCCCCCCACCCATGTCCCTTCTGGTAACCATCAGTTTGTTCTTTATAGTTAAGAGTCTATTTCTTGGTTTGTCTTTCTGTTTCTGTTTCTTTTTTTCTTTTTTCCATTTGCTCATTTGTTTTGTTTCTTAAATTCCACGTACAGATGAAATCATATGGTCTTGTCTTTTTCTGATTGACTTATTTCACTTAGTATAATACTCTCTAGCTGCAGCCATATTGTTGCAAGTGGCAAGATTTCATATTCATATATATCTCTATCTATCTATCTATCTATATCACATCTTCTTTATCCATTTGTCCATCAGTGGACACAACATATCTTGTATATTATAAATAATGCTGGTATAAACATTGGGGTGCATGTATCCCTTTGAATTATTGTTCTTGTATTTTTGAGGTAAATACCCAGTAGTGCAATTGCTGGGTTGTACGGTAGCTCTATATTTAACTTTTTGAGGAACCTCCATACTGTTTTCCAGAGTGGCTGTGCCAGTTTGTGTTCCCACCAACAGTGCATGAGTGTTCCTTTTTATCCACAGTGGTATTTCATTTTGGCTTTGATTTGCATTTCCTCTAATGACCTATGATTTTGAGTATCTTTTATGGGCTTATTGCACCACTTATATATTTTCTTTGGAGAAATGTGTATTCAGATTCTTTTCCCATTTTAAAATTGGTTAATTTGTCATTTTATTATTGACCTGTGATTTTTCTCCTCTTATCATCTCTGTCATCTTAAGTGTTGGCAGTCTGTGTCAGTTCGAGTTCTCCAGAAATATAGAACCAATAAGATATATACATGTATGTATGTGTATTTAGATATGTATGAAGACAGAGAAAGAGAGAGATTGATCAACTGATTATTAGGAATTGGCTCTTCTGATTATGGAGGATGGCAAGTCCAAATCTGCAGTTTAGGCTGGCAGGTTCAAGACCCAGGAGAGACAGTGGTACAATTTCAGTCTGAAAGCCAGCAGGTGGAGACCCAATAGAGCCAATGGTACAGATGAAGTCTGAAGGCAGTCTACTAGACAATTTCCTTTTACTTGGAGAAGAGTTGGGTTTTTTGTTCTATTCAGACCTTCAACTGATTGAATAAGGTCTACCACCTTTTGGAAGGCAATCTGCTTTACTCTATCAATTAAAATGTCAATCTTGGGCGCCTGGGTGGCTCAGTTGGTTAAGCGACTGCCTTTGGCTCAGGTCATGATCCTGGAGTCCTGGGATCGAGTCCTACATCGGGCTCCCTGCTCAGCAGGGAGTCTGCTTCTCCCTCTGACCCTCTTCCCTCTCGTGCTCTCTATCTCTCATTCTCTTTCTCTCAAATAAATAAATAAAATCTTTAAAAAAAAATAAAATGTCAATCTTACCCAAAAACACATTTACAGAAACACCCAGAATAATGTTTGACTAAATATCTGGGGACCCTGTGGCCCAGTCCAGTTGACACATAAAATTAACCATCATGGCATCTAATGATTGTCTTTTTTCATTCAGTTTGCGCTTTTTCTGGTTCTTGGCATGGCAAATGAGTTTCAGTTGAAAACTGAACATTTTTGGTATTATGTCATGAGACCCAGGCTATAAAAGTCATAAGGTCTGGGTGAGATGCCCTTCTTTGCATTCAGTTTTTAGATCATGCCTGAGTGCTGGCTTGTGGCTTAAGCCAGGCACATGGTGAGAACTCTTCCCTGGAGACTTGTGGGCTTCTTTTGATATGGGGGAAATATGGCATGGGGCTCACTGCCTCTGAGCTGTGGAAGCTGTTGCAGACAGAAGATCAGACTTGGGCCTGGTGCCCCTGGGCTCCATTCAGGAGAAATGTCTTTAGAGCTGACTGGTATGTCCAGTAGCCTGGGAAGAATAGGAAAGATGTCCAAGCAGAGACTGGGCATGCAGCCTTCTAGGTAGCCTGGGAGCCTTTGGCTCCCTGAATGACTCCTTGGCTTTTCAGGAGTGCTAATTGTCCTTGGTCCTTTGAGAGCTCCAAGGCAGCTTCAAAGAAACCTCTGTGGGGCAAGGGCAGGCAGGTCTGATGTGGGTCCTGCCTGGACCACCAAACACCTGAACACTCCCTGCCTAGGCCCTGCCAGGTATTTGAGGAGGGCCCAAGGGCCCTTCTACATCCGGGGCTATGTGTCTTGTCCACTTGTTTTTCCTCATCTCCTTTTTGCTTCCAGACAAATGATGCAGCTGGTAACACCTGGAACTGGCTCTACTTCATCCCTCTCATCATCATTGGCTCCTTCTTCATGCTCAACCTGGTGCTGGGCGTGCTTTCAGGGTAAGAGGCCATGTGGGCTTGTGTGCTGCCTGCCTGCCCTTCTGTGTTCTCAGGCTAAGGGGAGAGATTGTGGAATGAGACGTGGGCATGTGTGATGTGGGAAAGGTGAGGCCTGGCCTGGCCTCATGGCCACGCTGTGGTGGTCACTCCTATCGTCCTGAGCTCTGGTCAGCCTTTCCTTTCTGTTCCTGACCTCTCTCTTCACCATCCCCTGGCCCTGGCCTCCTTGCCTCTATCCCAACTTGGCCTTCACCCTGTCCCCTGATGATGGGGGAGGGGCTGCTGCTGGATCTCACCTGGGTCCATGGTGGGGTTTTTGGGCAGTCCCGGTGCCTAGAGAGACCCTCTGCTGCTACAGTGGAGGGTAAGGGAGCGGTCCTATACCCTGGCTGTAGTGGTCACCAGGCTCTCCACCCCAGCCTTGACCCCTGGCTTGCTCCTCCTCTCCAGATACCTTTCTATGCTGAGCTCCTCCAGGAGAGAACAAGGGAGGGTGAGGGGCTGACATTCCTTCCCAAAGAAAGGTGCTTCCTGGCCCCACATCATACTCTCCTGTCCTGCATGGGGCCAACACACAGAAGTGCTGTGTGCTTAGGGGCACAGATGGGGCTGGTGTCTGGGGACCCTGCCCTTCCATCAGTCTGAGGAAGCTCTGTTGGGAAGGCCTGGCCTGCACTCTGTTCCCCCATTAGTATCATACCCCCTGTAAGACTAGAGGAGAACATCTCCATCCTGCCAACCCTGAAAGTTCCTGCTCAGGCCCAGGGCTCCTGAGGTAGGCTGGGGGAGAGGCTGGTGGACCCAAGGGGCAGCTGTCCTTTTGGCCTGGAAAGGAACAGCCGCTGAGAGGACAATGGTTGGGGTCCACGACCTGTGTGCTCTAGCTCTGGAGCATGTCCTTAGCTGCAGTCCTCTCCTGGAAGGGGTATGTCACCAGCATGTCTTTCTAAGCACCTGCATAGGGACAGGCACACCCACAGCACAGGGAATGGATGTACAACTTCTAGTCTGATGGAATTGCAAGGTCTGAGCTGCATGGGGAATCCGGAGGAGGCCTGGAGCTCAGAGAAGCCACCTAGAGAAGGGGCCTTTCCATTGAGACTCAAAGGGAGAGCAGGAATGAACTCAGCAAAGGAGGGGAGAGGGTTTCCCAGGCAGAGAAGAGTTGGAGTGGAGGCCCAGAGGTACCCAGAGGGGTGCAGTGTGTGTGCTGCAAGGATGCTCAGAGCTGGAGCCAGAAGGTGTGGAGGGGAGAGGGTGCTGGGGCTGGCAGACGGCAGGCTTGTGGGGAGGATGGGCTCTGTGCTGAGGACAGTGCACAGTGGGGAGGTGGTAGGAATGTAAGTGCGTTCATGGCGAGTTGGGAGAGCAGCCTGCTTAGGGTGGCTTTGTGTGGCTTGCCCTGAAGAATGTACAGAAAGAACTGGGGGAGTGGGGCTGTGGGTCTCCTCACTGAGCAGGGCCACGAAGTTTGTGACTTCCCAGTCCCCCTCCCACCTGTGAGCACCCTGGCCTCTGAGGGTGGGGTGGTATGGGATGGTTTTCCTGATTAGTCTCAGCTGAACCCTCCCCCAGACATCCAGGCCCAGCAGGTGGACCCCAGGGTTCTCTTTCAGGCCTGGGCAGGCTTGGAAATGGCAAGGCCCCAAAAGCTGGCAGTCAGCGCACAACAGGTGGGTCCCATGCTGGCTGCGCTCCAAGGCAGCCGTGACCAGATGTCTCCTCTACAGCCTGGCCCGGGAAAAGCTCGCCCTACAGGACTCCATCCAGCCACGGGCCGGCTTGGAGCCCACCAGCCTTGTTCTTCCTCATGCCCCAGGCTGTCACCCACAAAGACTTCTGGAGGAGCAGGGTCACAGGGATTCCTCTTGGGGCCTTTCTTAGCAGTGAGAACTGATGCCTGGGAAGGACAGGCCCTGCTGCTGGCTGCCATTTGAGAAGTGGATGCTCTGGGCAGGGCCTAGATTGCTACAGCAAGTTTTTGCTGGTGGCTCTCAGACTGATTCAAGTGGTATTGTCAGTGCCCCACCCCTGCACCCCAGGCCCTCCTGCCCTCATCACGGCCAAGGGACAGAAGCTGGATGGAGAGGGGAGGAAGGGAGGGGCCCTGTGTCCCTGCAGATTCGGGGTTTTTGAGGGATGGGAGGTCCAGGCAGGACCTGGCTCTGTTCATTGCCAGGACCGCCACAGCTCAGGCCCTGGGGGACTCTGGTCATGAGCTTGGGTCAGTGCTGGCCAGAGCTGAGCTCTTTCTCCTGCCGTCGCTGTGTGCCAGGAGTTAGGTCTGCTGGGCTCACCGCACCAAGCCCAGAAGCTGCTTCTCCTGGAGGAGAAACGGCCACTTCGCTGAGGACAGACATTGCTGTTTTGCTGCGGGGATGTGCCTACCTCTCCTTTGGGGACCTGGGTCCTGCCCCAAGCCTGGGCTGAGAGGCTCGCCATGCTGGATGCTGGGTGCACATACACTTGGGCGTGCTTGTGTGCCTGTGTGTGTGAATGGCTTCCTTCTGGCTGTGTGAGCCCAAAAACTTGTCTGGGAAGCTGGGGCTGGGCTGCTGAGGGCTAAGGAGGGCAGAGATCACTCTCCTGGTCATTGCGAGCCTCACAAGTTTGGCTGAGGTGGCTCTGGATGTTTTCCTTTCATCATTGGCTTGCCCCCATCCCTTCCCTTCTTGCCCTGTTCCTGTCTGTCCTTCCCCTCCTAGCAAGGGCTCTGGGTCTGAACCAGCAGAAGAAACAAAGTGAAAGTTCTCTGGGCAGTTCTTGCCCAGAAGATCTCTGTAGGATGCAGATGACAGCCTGGCACGTGGAGGGTGTGCGCCTCGGCCTGCTCTGGGCAGGAGGATGTGGAGTTGTCCCAGCTCTCTGGAGCCCCCTCTGGGGACTGAGGTGCTGTCCCTGTGTGCTGGAGGAGTCTGAGGAAGGAGGGTTCACCTGGGCCCTCTGAGGGCTCAGGTTGGAAGAGGCCATGGTGGTGAGGGGCGGCCCATGGCCTGCATGTCATGTCCCAGCCTCCCCTGGCTCCCTTTGCCTCTGCATCCGCACACCCATGGGGCTGTGCTCCCACTCACCCTGTCTGCTTCCTTTTCTGGCCCCTGCACCATGCAGAGAGTTTGCCAAGGAGCGTGAGAGGGTCGAGAACCGCCGGGCCTTCCTGAAGCTTCGCCGGCAGCAGCAGATCGAGCGGGAGCTCAATGGGTACTTGGAGTGGATCTTCAAGGCCGGTGAGAACCAGGGGCAGCTGCAGTGCTCCTGGCCTGGCCTCTGTCAGTGGCCATGGCGAGGGTGAGACCAGTCGAGGAGAGGGGAGCTGAGGTGTCTGAACTGTGTTCTCCAGCCCACCTGGGGTCCTGACACCAGGCGGCCATTTGGCTCTGGGGACACTGGTCTTTTTAATGGAAGCTTCTGGCATGGCCTAGCCTAGGGCTAGTTTCTGCCTGTCAGACTCAGGCGCCCTACCCTTGACCTGAGCCTGCTCTGTGCTCTGCACCTGGTTCTGGGCTTTGTCAAGCCTGGGGTTTCTGACTGTCCCCCAGCCTCAGGCCAGCATACTTTCCTCCATATGGGGCACCCGCCGTACCTCCTCAAGTGCCTTGTCAGCGAGGAACTCACCTAGTGGGGTGGCTGCTCTCAGGGGAGGGTGATATGAGCGTGGGAACAGGCCAGGCGCCCCTCATGGGGCACTGCCTGTGGGACACAGAGGGTGTCTGTCTCAACAGGAAAAGCTCAGCCATGAACCCCACAGGCTTCTGGAATTGTAAGGGCTGAGAGGGCAGGGTCGTGCAGCAGAGGGGCACCCTTATACTGGCGTGCTCCTGGGGGGTGAGCCCTGCTCGGGGGTTGGGATGGGAAGGCTCCGACCTGAGGCTGTGTCTCACTCACAGAGGAAGTCATGCTGGCCGAGGAAGACAAGAATGCGGAGGAGAAGTCCCCTCTGGATGGTAGGTGACCACTGTTAGCACTCTGTGCCCAGCGAGACGTGTGTGCGTGATGTTCTTGCTCTACCGGGCAGCTGCCCATCTATTGCAGCACACGCAGTCCTGGGCAGAGTCCATTCCGGAGGTCATGGCATGCTCCTGGGCAGTTGCGTACCATGGACCAGACTGGATGTAGCTGGCGGTGGGCTCTCCCACGACCCCTGTCAGCCTGAGGCTCAGAGCTGTGCTCACAGCATGCCCCTGAGGGCTGTGTTGTCCAACATGGCAGTTCACGTGTGACCGTGTAAGCTCACACGTAAGTACACTGCAGTGAAATAAAAGTGAAGGACCTGTTCCTCAGCCTCACCCACCCCATTTCAAGTGTTCAATAGCTAGATGGGGCTAGAGGCTGGTCAGCATAGATCTAGACCATTTCCATCATCACAGAAAGTTCTTTTTTTTTTTTTTTAAGATTTTATTTATTTATTTGACACACAGAGAGAGAGAGCGAGAGATGGAACACACACAGGGGCAGAGGCAGAGGGAGAAGCAGGCTTCCCGCCGAGCAGGGAGCCCGAGGCGGGGCTTGATCCCAGGAACCTGGGACAACCTGACCCGAAGGCAGACACCCAACAACTGAGACGCCCGTGCGCCCCCCCATCATCATAGAAAGTTCTGTTGGACAGTGCTGAATCTAGAAGCTTTCAAAGTTCAGGTTTAAACCAAGCTGGATCTGTCTCCGGGGCTCAGGGTGACGTAGCTCCCAGCCGGCCATGGCAGGACTCCTAGCACAGCCTGAGGCCACCAGGGCAGGGACGAGGGCCAGTGTGGCCATGGTCAGCAGCCCGGCGACGGGCACGGCCCCGCTGGCAGGAAGGCTATCCTCTTCATAGCAAAGCCGAAGCCAGAGAGGCTGGCCATGTCTGCTGTAGCCTCAGCTGGACCCACATCTGGGGCTCTACTGTGCCGGCCCCTCTGCGGACCTGACTGACCTCTCTGCTCTCACCTGGCCTTGGGGTGTGGACTGCTGGGGCAGCCAGCTGCAGCCTGGCCTTGCCCTACACAAATGTCTCCTGGTCTCCCTGGTAGCCACTGACATCATCAGGGAGAAAAGGGAAAGTGGCATTCCCCTCCAAATTCCTCATCCCCTTGGCTCCGAAGTCTGAGAGGGGCTCATGGGGGCCGGGATAGGAGATCCCCAGGAAGATGCGCATACCCTCAGCTGAAAGACACCCCCCAGCCCTGGGGCAGGTGAGCTGGGTGCTGGCTCATATGCCGTCCCCTCTCCTCACCCTTGTTTAAAGCAGTGTTGAAGAGAGCAGCCACCAAGAAGAGTCGGAATGACCTGATCCACGCTGAGGAGGGGGAGGACCGGTTTGCAGACCTCTGTGCCGTGGGTGAGTCTCTTTGGGTCCTCCTGGCTGAACAGGGCCTGTCCTGTGACTGGGTATAGAAAGTGCACCTAACCTCCTGCCCATCCCCTCTGGGCCACGTTCCTTCCCTTCCTTCCCTACGGCCCACCCTCCCGTGTCCATCCTGATGGCAGGAAGTGAAGTGCCTTCCGCCCTCTGGTGTGTCCCAGAGCCCGGCAGTGGGAGTGGGCTGTGTGTCTAGCTCCTGGAAGTCCCTTGTTGCCCAGTGCCTGCCGCTCACTTGCATACTCTGACTGCTGTTGGCTCTGCCGTCCCCCATGCGGACGCAGAGCCTCAGGCCGCATCCCACCGCTGAAGGGCTGCGAGTGGGTCACCGGCTGTAGGGATCGAAAGGGTCTGCTATCTTTCTACCCAGCCCCTGTCTGTCTTCCATGCTCCTGGGGCCTCTGGCCTCATCCCCATCTCCTCAAATGGTGAAAGGAGAATTCTGGTTAATTTAATCACACAGAGCCACTTTAGTTCCCTTTCTCAGGCTGGTACCAGAAGTGCTGGGCCCCTTCCCACCGAATGCCCGGGTATTGTGCGTTCTGCGACAGAAGGGGCTGAGTCATGGGTTTCCACCTTGACAGTTGGAGAAGGGCCTGCATGACAGTGAGCTTCTCATTGCGAGGCACCAAGTCACACACGATGCAGGCAGCCTTGATCTCCAGCACTTCCTGAGCAGGCCTGGGTCCGAGGTCTGCTTCTCATTATGTGGTTACATTTATGAGACAACTCTTTAATGAAAGTTGCTTGTGCATTGACTGATATCTATCAATCAATCAATCAGTCTGTGTCTGTCTCTGTCTTTCCATCTAGCTATCAATCTGTGTATCTATTGATCTGTCATCTGCCAATCATCTATCTAACCATCCATCCACCCACCCACCCACCCACCTTTCCCTCTTTTTCTCCCCACACAGGCCCAGTAAACACATGTCAGTAGCTTGGCATTTCTCCCTGTTTCTCAGATAGAACACACATTGGCATCACACCCACACACAGGTACACATACACACATACACACACGTAGAGTTTTGAGATCTTTGCATGTTACAGAAATGCTTTCATACACATTTTTCTCATCGGTACCTTTTGGAGACCACTCCCCTCAGAAGTCTAATTCTAATTCTGATTCTAACTCGGTGCTCCATGGGTTCACTATAATTTGTTTGGCAGCTCTGTGTTGATGGCCATTCATTTATTTTTAGGTTGTTTGATCTTCATTATGAAAAGTGCTGCCCAAACAAAGCCCTGGAAACATCTGCCCTTCCTTTCCAGCGCTTCTGTCCCTGTGGGTAGACCCCCAGGAGCAGGGTGCTGCGCCCACTGCCAGCACCGTCCCTCCCAGTTACGTGCCGGAGATACTTTGACTTTTGCTAGCTCGAGACCAATTTGATGGTTATAAAGTATGTTTCTTTGGGACTGCCATTCTCATTTCACTCACTACTAGTGATTTGGAGTCTCTTTTTAAATGTTGGTTTCCCATTTGAGTTTTGGCTTTGGTGATTCTTCATATACCTGTCCATTTTTCTACTGGGTGGTTTGTGTTGGCTAATTAATAAGAGACTGATGTGTGTTGTGGATCTGAGCTTTGTTACAATTTTTACAAATTTATCATGTGAGTGTAATATTTAAATAGTCCCTTTTTTTCTATTTTACCTAGAGTTTTTATTCCGATTTTGTAAAATTAATTGGAAAGATTTTTAAAAGTCTTTTCCTATGGCTTAGAATAACTTAAGTAACATAACACCTAAATAATCTGTTCTTTAAAGTTGAGATAAAGCCGTGAACCCAAAATAAAAAGAACTTGGACCAGTTTTATAAATTATGCTTTGTGAGGAAATCTTCCATTTTCTCAGCGTCTCAAACTTGCTTCTATAGAGTTGCCTCCTGTACTTTTCTCATATAATTCTTCTCATCTCTCCTGTGTTCAGCTGCGTGTTTGTTCATTCACTCGGCAAATGTTTAAGTGCCCATGACATGCAAGGAGCCATTCCAGGCACTGGGGCTTCAGTGTTGAAGGGAACGATGAAGCCCCTTCCTCTTTCAGTTTTTCTGTTCCCGGGGTGGCGTCAGACCCCAAGCAGGATGACACGAGAAGTATGCAGCGCGTCAGTGCCACCTCTGGAAAGGGGAAAAATCGAGAAGCGAGGGGCTTGGAGGGCCAGGGGGTTGGGATTTTAAAGAGAATGGCCAAAGAAGCCGCCCCCCCCCAGGGGTAAAGCTGAAGAAAGTGAGGAAGTCAACCTCATGGAAGAGAACATTCCAGCAACATGTGAGAAGACCCTGAAGCAGGAAGGAGCGTAGCACAAGTGGGGACACTGTGAGGGAGGCCAGTGAGATTGGAGGGGAGTGGCGTGGGTCGGGGGAGCGGCGCGATAGGAGATCAGAAGTTCGCGGAGGGCGAGGGCCCGGCAGGGACTCTGGCCGCTGGTGGGTTTGCAGAGGGGAGACGCCGTCCGGCTCCAGCTGGGGCACAGGAGAGCCCCAAGTGCAGGAAGGCAGAAGTGGGGCCCGTTCAGAGGCCGCCGTAGGGATCCGACCAGTGGAGGCAGCCACGGGGGTGCCCAGTGGCCAGGTTCTGGATACATTCTGAAGGCAAGGGCACAGGATTTGCCGGCCAGCTGGGCATGGGCATCAGAGGATGCGGGCGCCACGTGCCTGAGGGTGGGGCTGGGGGCTGACGCCCAGAGTCCAGGGGGAGCATGTGCTGTGTGTGCAAATGCTGGGGAACCCGTGGGGTTGCGGGCAGCTGTCTGGGGATCCGGCTGGGCGCTGTGACGGTGTTGACCCCGCTGAGGCTGGCCTGGATCAGCTGACTTTGCTCTTGCTGTTTACTGGTCGTCAGAATGTCTGTCTGTGTGCGCTGCTTTATTAATTAGGATCGTGTGGGGTTAATCTGTATGAATGATCACATAAAATGACCCAATTTTACACTTCCTTTCTTCTGTTTTTTGTCTTAAATGTCATGACTTCCTCTTGTATCTTTAATAAGTTCATCTTTCTAAATTATTTTGACTTGCTTTTTTATTACATTCCTAATTTCTCAAACTGTGCAGCGTGTTCTTCCTCTCTTCTTCACCAGCGAGGGCGCTGAAGGCTGTGCCCTCCCCTCTGCGTGATGCTTCGCTGGGCGGCCGCCTTTCTATCAGCGCCTAGACCTTGGTTGCTCTTTACTACGCATCCAGAGTCACCGGCCTTCTCCCCCGACTTCTCCCGGTCGGCTCCACGAGCGGCCCTCCTTGGCTCTCATCGTTACTGCTGTGCTCCTTCGCTACTGTGTCTTGTTTTCTTACCATCCCTGCCCCTGAGATGCCTTGTTTCCATAAGGAAATTGGTGTTATTTGCCATCACTCTGCCCCTATTGGCCCCAAAGATCAAGAACATATGACCTTTGCAGCGTGTTCGCCTCCTCCCTCGCGGTTTGAGGACGTTGGTGTTTTTAGCCCTAGGCTGTTGTTAGTCCCTGTGGTTGCTCCAGAACCCTTGCTTAGCAGGCCAGTGTGCACCCCCAGAGGCTGACCCTTGCCCGCAGGACTTTGCTTTCCGAGGTCCTCGCCTGTGGCCACTGCCCCACCAACTGCTTCCTCTGCTTGCTCTCTGTCCTGTGCTCGGCTGGTTTCCCTGAGGCTTCTGGCTTCTTGCTAAGCCTCACGTGTCCTCCTACCTGAGGCGTGAGGTCTTTTTGCTGGGTCCTCCTGCCACTCTGTGGTGTCCCCCTGGCCCCTGCTGTCCTCGTGCCACGGAGGTGCCAGGGGCCGGGGCTCTTGTAACGTGTCAGGAGCTCCTTCTGTGCCTGTGGGCTCAGGCCTTCCTTCATGGAGGGCTTTTCCCATGTGTTTAATGAGTTCATCTCCTCGCCTTGTGCTTTTTTGCATCTGGAATCCCCATTATTTCATGTTCTGTCTCCCACTTGGCCCCTGCAAGTCTCACCCTCTGTCCCTCATTCAACATTTGGCTTATGCTTCATCCTTCAGAACCACTAGTTTGGGTTCTAAGAGTGAACCTCCTCTCCTTTCATCTGCTGAAGGGAATTTTATTTTTTCTCCAAAAGTTTCTCCTTTCAGTTTTATTTTGATTGCTTTGGTGCTGTACTTGAGTCCCTGGGATTTTGCTGATTTTTCCTCCTGGGTCCCTGGCAGGGCTTCCGGGCTCACTTGCTTTCAGGGCCTCAGGCCTCAGCAGGTTCAGGCCGGCTTGGGCGTGGGGCCGGGCAGGGAAAGAAGAAGCCACATGTGGGTTTCCTCATGCCCAGCACCTCCTTTGTCCCTCCGTCTGTGTGAGGATGGCGGCGTCTCGGGCGCTGGGCTTGTCACCCCTCCATCCACCCTGTCACTGGTGCCCGTGGTTGAGCCCACGTGCCCCATGTCGTTTCGCTGACTCCCACACAACGTGCTGGGACCAGGTTACCTGTGATCTGTTTCTGAGTGAGGGCTTCTCTGGGCTGTGTGACACTGTAAAGCCACATGCCCAGGGCAGGGGTGATGGGGTTTGTGTCTCCGTGGCTTGTTGGCGAACATTACTTTCATTATCCCATGCTGGTGAGTGCAACCGTGAAGCTGGAAAGGAACACATTTCTCCTCCGTCCCTTCACTGGCCTCTGGTGGGGTCATCGAGGGTGGGGATGGATCTTAGTCATTCTGCCTTCTCTCTGCCACTCAGGGCCTAAACTCTGTACACATGTGTGGAAGGAATGGGTATTGTTTTGCAGGGCCAGCATAGACCTTATATTAACTAATGAACCCCTCTTTTGGGCATGATGGAAAGAAATCCGAATATTATGTACACTCATGCATTGTTTCACTAATGCTTAACTGTTCTGATATTCATAGGTTGATTTAATTCTTGATTTCCCTTAGCTTGATGATATATTTTTTTCCTTGAAATAAGCCTTTTGATTATAAAGAATATACACTGATTAAGTTAAACATGGAAAATGCACAGTATGAAAAGAAGCAGTCCCAATCTCTCATGATTTTCCCCACCCAGAGCTACGATTCTGGATGTGTCGTGTGTCCATGTTCACTGTGGACCCCTGCTTTTACCAAAGAGCTGGGCTGGAGTCACTGTCTGGAGCCGACCTGAGCACATGGTAGCTGCTTGCTGGGAAAGGCTGTCCTCCGGGGCACATGTCTCTGTCTCCGGAGACCCAGGACCTGTGCCATGTTTGCCTGCGTATTCCTGTTCCCTGACCAAGTGGAGGCCAGGGGGTGGGCAGGTCTCTGTCCTTGGTTCTGCCATGGTGTGCGTGGGCACACACCTCTCCCTGGGAACTGACAGGGGGGCACCTCATGCTCAGTGCGCCGGGACTCTTGCTCCCCCTTCTGTCCCTTGGAGTGTGTTAGAGGGGGGACGGGTGGGGCTTCAGGAGCCAAGTAAGGGTACGTGGTTTTGGGCAAATGTGGCTCAGGAAGCTACTGTCTAGATATGCCTCGATGAGTGAAGATGTGTGTGGTTGTTTGCATGTGGGTCTGGGTGGCTGTGCCAAGGCAGCATTCCTACGAGGCCTTCCGCATGGCAGGGGCCCACTGGTTCTTACTGGGCATGGTCCAGTAAGCCAGGTGGGGATGGCCATGGAGCCTCCCCTGGAGAACTGGCTGCTTGTCTCACTGGCCACACGGGTGCACAGAGCAGTTTGCACAGGTCACGTGCCCTCTTAACCTTCCTTCCCAGCGTGGCCCTGTGTGTGTTCCTAGGTATGTACCCATGTGATTCTGTGAGTGGTTGTGTCTTTGAGAGTGAGATGATTAGGGTGTGTGTGACTTCGTTTCTCAGTGACTCAGGAAGTGGCAGGGGATCTGAGTGTGTGGGTTCCCCGGAAGGGTCTGTGCATGGTCTGCCTGTGTGTCTGTCTCTCCTGCTCTGCACTGTCTGCCTCTCTCTCCTGCTTTGGAGGGGGGAGTGGGTGTGTCTGGCTGTGGCCTTGGCACTTTGCAGCCTCAGTAAGGCTGGCCAAGAGCTCCTGGTTAATGAGGTCGCTCTGACTAATTGGCAGTGGCTGGTGTCTGGACATGGATTGTGCGGCTGCATCCTGGCTTCCCTGGGAGGCTGTGATGGAGCAGTGTCTTCCATGGCTGTGGGTGGGGTGTGGCATCTAGGGCGTTGTGAGGTTTCTCAGAGGGCTGGTGGATGGCTCCTGGCCTGTGGACTGCTCCTTCTGTGTCTGGGGCTGTCGGTCACAGCATCTCCCCCTACCCCCCCGATGCAGCTGCTCAGCTCATAGATAAGTCTCTCCACAGGCCTCAGGGCCTGTCCTCATTTCGGTGAACTCAAGAAAACATCAGCCCCAAAATACTACTAGTGTGCCACTGAGAGTCTAGGCGCACGCGCGCGCACACACACACGCACACACACACAGAACATCACGTGGCACACACACCCTCACCCAGGGACCCGATGCCCAAGCTGACTGGGTTTGAACCCTCGGAGGCTCACACAAGCCCAGGCCCTTATTGAAAACCCTAGAGAGACCCTGATGTGCTGCAGAGACATGGGATGTCCAGAGAGACAGAGCCATGCATACTCAATACCTCCAAGCCCCCATGAAGACTGCTCAGTTGTTTGTCAAGGAGTGCAGCGGCTCTCGCGAGGGTTCTCTCCTGCCCTCACAGAGTGTGCAATCTGGTCTGGAAGCTAGGCACAGAACAGGTCAACGAGCCAATACAGGGTGGATGGTACACAGTTGTGATTATTGCTGGTAGGCTGATGACCCTATTTTGGAAAGAGTGCCCAGAGAGGGGTGTTTTGTGAAGTCCAGATGTGAAGCTGAGAAGCAGCCCGCTGTGGAAAGGACCAGTGGTGGGAAGCATTTTATGCTTAGGGTCACGGCAGGGCAGAGGTGGCATGTACGTGGTGATGGGGGAAGGCCATGGTAGCTTCATCGCAGACATTCCAGAGACTGTGTTGGGTTTTGTGGGCCATACTCACCTCTGCCTCTGCACCAGGATAACAGCCATGGACCAGACGCAAGCCAAGGAACTTGGCTGGGTTCTAGTCAAAGTACTTGAAAATAGAGGGGCGCCTGAGTGGCTCAGTCGTTGAGCGTCTGCCTTCGGCTCAGGTCATAATCCCAGGGTCCTGGGATTGAGCCCCGCATCGGGCTCCGCATCGGGCTCCCTGCTCAACGGGAAGCCTGCTTCTCCCTCTCCCACTCTCCCTGCTTGTGTTCCCTCTCTCACTGTCTCTTTCTGTCAAATAAATAAATAAAATCTTTAAAAAAAAATTACTTGAGAATAGGGAGCCAGGGGCACCTGGGTGGCTCAGTTGGTTGGGTGGCTGCCCTGATCTCAGGGTCCTGAGCTCGAGTCCCGTGTGGAGCTCCCTGCTCAATGGGGAGTCTGCTTCTCCCTCTACCTCTGCCTCTTCCCCCCTGCTTGTGTTCTCTCGCTCACACTCTTTCTCTTTCAAATAAATAAATCTTTAAAAAAGACAGCCAGTGGCTGCTGATCCCTGAGTTGAAGTGGGGCTGTGGGGGCGGGGGGAGGACCAGATGCTGTAGTGCTCTCCAAGGCCCACAGAGGAGCTGGGATGGTCGGGAGCATCGGGCCTGCTGGAAGGTGGCCAGGAGGTGCTGGGGACCATCTGGAGCCCAGTCACTGTGGAGACCACCAAGGCTCTTGGTTCCCTCACCTGTGAAATGGGGGTGGGGTCAGGCCCCACTGCAGGGGGTGCAGGGGTAATCAGCTAAATGCCAGTAACACACAGGGTCTGACGCACTTGGGGCCTTGAGCTAGACCCGGGCTGGGGCAAGTGCCCATGAAGGTGTTCTCATGGGGGAGCTATGTGTCTGAGTGGGAGGGGAAGCGTGTCCTCAAGGGTGTGTCCATGGGGCACACGTCTGTGAGGGAGAGTGTGTCCTCAGTGAGCCCCTTGTTCCCCCAGGATCCCCCTTCGCCCGTGCCAGCCTCAAGAGCGGAAAGACGGAGAGCTCGTCATACTTCCGTAGGAAGGAGAAGATGTTCCGGTTCTTCATCCGGCGCATGGTGAAGGCGCAGAGCTTCTACTGGGCGGTGCTGTGTGTGGTGGCCCTGAACACGCTGTGCGTGGCCATGGTGCATTACAACCAGCCGCAGCGGCTCACCACGGCGCTGTGTACGTAGCTGCAGCTGGGCCTCCCCTCACCTCTTCCCGAACCACCTCTGGTCTGCAGCCTGCAAATCCCGGTTCACAGCCTTTTGCCTTGGAATGCCCTGGGTAGGACCCCTGCACTGACCCCAGTGCCCCCAAGGGCCTCTGCTGGGGCCTGAGCTTCCCGTCGCAGGTAGCAGGAGGCCTAGCTGATTGAAACGGGTTAGAAACTCATCTGTCAGTGTGGTGGGAAATGAGGCGGGGTCCAGGGCACCCTGGAGGAAGTTGATGGGGTGAGCAGGCACAAGCCAGGCCACATGGACCTGTGTCCTCCCTTGGAAGGGCCTCAGACCCACGGACCAGAGGACTTAGCCCCTCATTCCAATCTGCCACAAGGCTGCGGCTCCCTTCCTGGACTCCTGGGGAGGAACGGTCCTGCCTTCTAGCTCTCTTCCTGGGCTCTTTGGCTGTTTGCATTTTTTGGTTTTTGAACCTGACCAGGGCTGGCTTACCCATGTCCATGGGTCTAAGGGCCACAAGAGTCTGAGTCATGACTTCTCTTGGCCCTGGCTGCAGTTCCAAGGAGGAAAGGAAGAAGGTAACCGGGGTGGTTGAGGCCCCTTGTCCCTCTCCAGGGACCAGGGCTGACTTTCCAGGACCAACCCTTCATACCCTAGGGCTCTGTAGGCCATGGGGAGCTTGGTCAGGCCTTCCGCCTTCCTGTTCCCTGGGAGTCAGCTGCAATAACCCTGCTTGATATCTGGGGCTGATGTGGACACAGGGCCTATTGTGGATTCCCCTTGCTCTCTCCATGGGAGTCCTGTACGCCTGAAGCCACCCTGCGGTGGCAAGAGAGTCTTTTCTCCAGAGAAGAACCCTCCTGGATCTGAGTCCTGGCCCCTGGTGGGCCAGCCACACTCCCCTCTTCCAGACCCCTGAGCCTGTCAGCTTTAAGTAGGAGCCTAGGCAGCTCTGGAAGGGTTCTTAGGAGCTCCAGACTCTGATGTCTCCACAGGCCACTTGAAAATGTGGGTGGGGGTGATGGTTGAGGGGTGCGAAGCTAGGCTGCAGTTTCCCAACCTTGTATTGAAAGCTCTTGTTGTGTAATGGGGAAGGGCATAGAGGCAGAAAAAGCCAGAGGGGCCCAGGGAGCTTTCGGCAGGCAGCCTGGCTTGGGTTGCCCAGGGGCGCAAAGTGAGGAGGCAGTTTGTGTGCTTTGAACTGCCCGCTCTGGCCCCTAACCCATATACCCTTGGACCTGTACTTTGGTGTCTGGGGACTTTGTTTGGGACTGAGGTGAGTACTTCCCTTCGTATCCCCTCAGGATAGAGTCTCCTCATCCTTGGGGGTTGGGTGGGGACCAGGGAGGTGGGGCTTCCTCTTGACCCCGCCAACGGTGCGGCTGTTCCTGGGGCTTCCTGGCCAGGCCTTTCCTTCCCATGGAAGAAGCTGATGGTGCCCAGTCAGTCTTGTGGTTACTCCTTGTTTCCTGGGGACCTGCCACCCGACCGGGCAGGCAGCAGGGCCTGGTCACACATCTGTTGTGTGGGAGCACAGTACGGGGAGTGCCCAGGTGCTGGGCCAGGCCACAGGCATCCCTGGCCACGCTTCTTCCCCCTTGCTGCTTTGTCTTCTCTGTGGTTCCCTGGGAATTCCTGAATTCATTGGCATTACCTGGGGAAAACGTCTGGCGGGAGAGATGGGTGTATGCTGGGTCTGCACACCTCTGCTCAGTGCCCTGGGCTCTCTCCTTGGCAGCTGGGCTGGAGCTGAGGAAGGCTGATCCAGCCAGGTAGGGCAGGTCTTGCAAGAGGCAGAGGCAGTGGCTGAGGTAGGAGGGGGGTCTCCGCCAGGACTAGCTTCATTGGAGCTCCCTGGGAGGCTCTGCGCTGAGACTGGCCAGCCTGCAGAGAATGGGCTGTGTGCACCTCAGCTGTGTGTCCATCCAGGACCCACCCCCAGTGCACCACCAGAACCCCTGAGACTGAAGCTTAACTGGTGCGGGGGGAAGGAAGGGAAGCAACTGGCTGTCGGGCTTTGTCATCCTCTGAGCCCCCCGGCCTCACAAGACAGGCTTGGCCATTCTGTCCTCCAGTTATGATACAGAACACTGATTAAGTTCTCTGCCCCCCACTGTGTGAATGCCCGGGGAGAGGGCTCATCTCTGTCTCCTCTGCAAGTTCAAAGCAGCACCAGCCTGTTAGTTGGATGAATGCTTCAGGAGTGAATGAGTGGATGCCCTTTCTTGGCCTCAGAGGGGAGGCTGAGCTTATGAAGCCAGGGGTGTCTCTTCCGCAGGCAGGGTGCTGGGGGATTTCTGGCTCAGGTTGCTCCCTTTCTCCGAGGAGGCCCTACCATCGGCAGCTCCTGTGCTGGTTCCTTGCACTCTGCTCTCACGTGGGTCTCCTGCGAGCAAGATCGGTGGCTGGCAGCTGTAGCTCCGAGGTCTGGTGTGTGGGCAGGGGCAAGTCCCATCTTCGGGGCCTCTTCCTCCAGGATCTGAGCTCTTCTTATGGGGTGCCCCACGGCGCAGGGGCAGGTGCCTTTGTGACCTCACGTGGAGGGGCTCTGGGACTGTGCAGGGTGTTGGGGCGCTCGGAGCTGGACTTGGGGGCGGGGCGCTCCCTCCCTACGCCCCTCACACCTGCTGCTCAGCACAGCCGGGCCCAGGTGCTGGTCATTCAGACCTGCCTAGGTCAGTGGGCATCCGTGCCGGGCTTGGGTGCCTCAGTGGCTTCTTGGCTGTCTTCAGAGGCCAGGCTTGTTGTGTGAGTTGCTACCAGGAGCTGATTATCCATGTACTCAAGCCACAGTAGGGGGTTCCCCACCTGAGACCGTGGGCCATACAGGTCATTGTGTGTCTGTGTGTGGGCAGTGGGGCTGGTGCCTCTGCTCATGCGCAGTTGGGCTACTGTAGATCTGCCCCCGACTGAGGCTGCTGGGTCTCTGTCGTGGAGTACATGGTGGAGAGCTGTGTAAGAAAGCAGATGTCAGGGTCCAGAGCTATGTGGTCCCCTCTTCTGTTGTCTGTTTTATCAGGAGCTGCTTGAGGTCCAGCTTCCCAACCAGTCCGGATGCCAGAGGCCCCAGGAAGGCTGGGCCGGTGGCCTTCTGGGGACTGGACTCTCTGAAGCTTACCCTCCACTCCTGCTCAGGGCCTGGACCCTCAGGGGCAGGCTCTGCCCTGAGTTCTGAGCCGCTTCCCTGGCTTCTCCTGCTCTGGGGCCAGAGGTCATGGTGCCTTTGGGCCACTGTACAGAATAATGAGCTGATTCCAGCTCGGCACCTGGGGAGGAGGGTCAGAGACAGTGACCTTGTTCTGCTTCCTGGACTTCCTGGTTTGACCACTGGCAGAGCCCGGCTGCCTCTCTCGGTGTCCGGACGACCTGTTGTTTCTCGCTCTGGCTGTGCGTGTTGCTCGGGCCTGGCTAGGGGCTGTGTCTTGTCTGTGTGCCTGGAATTCCTAGCATGGCCCTCAGTTCCAGTGTGGCCTCCCTTTGGTCCTGAGGCCCTTGAGGGTCTGCACTCCCAGTGGCAGGACTCCTGGCTAGGCAGGAGGGGTCGCCTGCAGGAAGGTGAAGGTGCCCAGGAGCCTCTGTGTGACTCGTAGAGTGAGGGGGTGGCAAGTGTTGGTGCCTCCTGGGAGCCTCGTGCTGGCCGGTCCAGGCAGTACTTGGGTGGTAGGTGAGCACATGAACAAAGTGAAAACCAAACTCGGTGATGTGGGGGTTTTGGAAGGGTTTCGGGGAAGTCCTCATGGAAAGACAGGGTGATTCTGACGAGGAGGCTGAGGGTCTCCACCATGCTCAGAACATGGGGCAGGGAGCAAGCCTGAAGGCAGAAGGATGGGTCTGAGGCCGTCCTCTGGGGAGTACCGTGTGGCCCTGGAACTCACTCCCGAGCCCAGTCCCAGGGCCTCACCTCCCTCCTGTCTCTGGGCAGCACCACATTTCAGAGTGGACAGGCATCTCTCTGGGCCCCTCCCGGTCCCAATCCGTTCATTATTCTCCTCCTGAGCTGAGATGTCTGAGCTCGGGGGCCACAGACCAGGCCTGCAGGGCTCAACCCTGGGAAGGCCCAGAGGTCTGGTGTCCTCCAGTCTGGGCTGGAGCCAGGTGGGGGGAGGCTGAGAGCTAATCCCCCTCTTCTCCGGCTTCTCCTAGACTTTGCAGAGTTTGTTTTCCTGGGTCTCTTCCTCACAGAGATGTCCCTGAAGATGTATGGCCTGGGGCCCAGAAGCTACTTCCGGTCCTCATTCAACTGCTTCGACTTTGGGGTGAGTAAGATCTTCATGAGAGGTGCCGGCTGGGGTCCAGGCAGGTCCAGCTGTGTCCTTGCTCGAGAGTGCACACAGCCCCCTCCCAGTATACTGTACCCAGTGTGTGCTGGGGTCTGTGCCGCAGGACCCAGACAGTTGAGCATCCTGTGACCCTGTGTGGGTCAGGAAGCTCCCTAGAGACAGGGAGAGGCCTTTGGCAAAGGGACGTCCTGTGTCCTGGTTGGGCCCTGACTTATGGGGGTGTCAGCTGCAGGACACCCTCCTTCCCACTTCTGACCCTGTCTGTAGAATCTGCAGATCAGCTGAAGGTGTCCCCTCTGTGTCTGGTACAGCCGTCTTTCAAATGTGCCACTGCTCCGCAGAGGGCTCAGTGTCCCCAGCAGAGCTCAAGGGGGTGTGATCCTGCTCCCTCACTGTCCTGCAGATCTGGCTCTGGGCAGCTTGGACACATGCTTCAGGGAAGACCTGACAGGGGCATGATGGTCCAGCCCTTCTCATGGGGCTGGCCTGGGTCCCCTCACCAACCTCTGTAGGTCAGGGAGGCCTCAAAGGCAGGTGTTCAAGACTCCCTGGGACAAAGCCCTTCCCAGGCCAGCAAGCACACGGACACCTCCCCGGTGCCGAGCCCAGAGCCCAGGGAGGAGCTCTGACCCAGTGGAGGCTCTCAGTGAAAAGTGGCCATGCCAGCCCTGAGGAAGGTTCACGCCTCCGCAGAGTTCTGGCTGTAGGTAGACGTTCAACTCGAAAATTCAGTGTGACATTGACTTTTTCTGTCAGTGGAGTTGATGGAACATTGTGTCCGCGGCTCTGTTAAATCCTCACCAGGGCTCCTGCTTTGTAGACGAGTAACTGGAGTTGTTGTGGGATTGGCCCAAGGCTGCCCAGGTACTTTATGGGGGAGGCAGTGTGAACCCAGGAGTTCTGGCCCTGGGGTAGCAGGTTTGTGCCACACAGCGCTGCCTGATCTCTGGGGGAAGGAGGGGCGCTGGCTGCCCAGGGTGTGCTCTGAGACACGGATACCTGCGGTTCTTCCTGGGATGGCTTCTTGTCCCTTTTGCCTGCTGAGTCACGAGGAAAGCCTGTAGCTCACACAGGCTGGAGGGAACCCAAAGAGGTTAGCAGATCTCAGAGAATCCTTGATCTTGTAAATGTGTTTGTATCTTTTGGTTTGAACTAACTGGATCCCAGGACATGGGAATGATTTGCACATAAGCTAACAAATTATTCCAAAATTTAGCAGCATAAAATAAGTGTGTATTATCTTACAGTTTCTATAGGTCGGGGGTCCAAGGCTGGCTTAACCAGGTGCCTGTGGCCCAGGGTCTCAGGGAAGTCACAGTGCAGCTGACAGCTGGGACGCAGCCATTCCAGGGCTTGATTAGGGCGGGAGAATTTCCTTTCAAGCTCATCATATGGCTGTTGATGGGACTTCCAAGCTCACTCCTGTGGTTGGTGGCAGGCCTCAGTCCTGGTCACGTGGGTCTCTCCCCAGGCTGCCTGAGTGTCTTCAGGATGTGACAGCTTGTGATCCGAGACAGAGACTGAGAGTACCCAAGACAGAAGCCACAGAAACCCAGGCTCAGAGAGACGACCCATCAATTCTGCCATATTATATTTGTTAGGAGTGAGTCACCTGGCCCAGCCCACGTTTAACAGGGGTGGGGAATATTAATTACCCAGGGACATGAACCCCAGGAGGCAGGGTCACTGGGGGCCGTCTTAGAGGCTGCCTGCCACAGTCTACGCTCTGGTGTAGACCACATCCTTCCTGATGTAAAAGACACCCGCGTCCTCCCGCTTCCCCGGCCACCTCCCATTACAGTGTCAGTTCAGAGTCCAGGGCCTTCATCCAAATCAGGCCCAGGTAGAGTCACGGCTCCTCAGGACAGCTGCTCAGTCCCTCCCCACCTGTGGACCCATGGAACTAAAAAGACAAGCTGTCACCTGCCCGTTGGCGGGACTGGCATGGATGAACTGCCGTTGGCATTCTTGTTCCAAGGGGACCGTGGGACACACAAGGGAGTCTCTGGCCCATAGCGGTCCAGGGATCCACCTGGGAAAAGTTGGGGATCCTGGGATTAGTTCTAAGGACTGGGACGCCCTCTGGGCTTTTGGTTTTGGCCTCTGCATCACCTTTCTTGTTCCAGGAAAGATAGCATGTGTTTTCAGCTAGACACTTCTCTCAGCCTGCTTCCTACTGGTAGGACTTGAGGAATCCAAAGGCTTTTGTCTTGTACTGTCTGTGTCCCTTTCAACCCAAGCTGGTGAGGTCTCTGCATAGCTAAGTCTTTCAGTGTGCTGTGGGTATGTTGTGAACCTCCCTGGATTCCACCTGATGAAAGCCCTACCGAAACTCTCGCAACAGGCCCTTCCCAGTGGGGTGCCTGTGCTGAGATGGCTGAGGCCGGTGCACGTTAGTGCCCTGGAGGACTTGCTGCTCATCACCCTGACGTGCAAGGCCATCTCCGCAGGGACGGGCTCCCGCAGTGTCACAGTCGTGCCCTGGCTTTCTCTGTGGACCGTGCCATTTCCTAACTTGGCGTCCTTGGTTGTCTGGAGAGGCAGCTGACAACCCTTTCCCGTGCCTCTCCCTCTTCCCACGCTGACAGCGGGTGGCAAGAGCACCCCAGGCCGCACCTGCAGACTCTGCTTAGAGATCCCAGAGACCTCCCCGTCCATGTGGCACACCTTCTTCTCTTCACATAGCTGTGGGCAACAGTGTGGCCAAATTTCCTGCCAGTACACAACAGGACTTCTGCCCCCTGCCCTGTAGACCCTTATGTGCAGCCTCCATACTTCCTCACTGTCCAGAACCCATGGACGTGCTGGGTTCACTGACATGCTGCTCCGTGCCCATTCTCTGGCTCCAAAACCACTCCCACATTGGAGAGCACTCCATTTCTGTCTCCAAAATGTGTATTGTTTTTTCCTGATGGATAACAAATTACCCCAAAGTTTAGTGGCTTAAAACAACCATCATTTGTTATCTCTCATGTCCGTGGGTCGGGAGTCAGGTGGGACTTAACTGGGGGCCCCCAGCTCTCGCTCTCCCACAAGGCTGCAGTAACCGCAGGCTCTTTGGGGTGGGGAGCTCACACCCAAGCTCCTGCTTGTGGCCGACAGACCTCAGTACCGGTCACGGGGGCCTCTCCCCAGGCTCCCTCATGTCCTACATCATGGCAGCTGGGGACCTGCAGCAGAGCTGAGAGCACCGAGGAGGAAGCCAGTCTTTGTGACCGAATCTCAGGGGTGACAGCCAATCACTTCTGTCACATTCTGTTTGCTAGAAGTGAGTCACTGGGTCCAACCCATCCTTGAGGGACAAGGCTATACAAGGTGGGGATACCAAGTAGTGGGGATCACTGTGGGCCATCTGAGGGGCCACCTGCATCATGAACGAATGGGAACAAATTCTGAGGATGAAGGAAAGACAGAGACGCTGGAAGACCAACAATAAGAACACAGATTTAGGAAACTGTGAGCTCCAGCCCCAGACAAACATCCGGATGCTGTGTGCACGCTGTGGAAAATTGGTGGAGGTGCTCAGTGTCACAAACGACAGATGGCAGCAAGCTTGGATGTCCCAGGTGTGCAGCTGTTGGGCTGTCTGGACGTCGCAGGACATCAGATGGTCTCTCAATGATGCATCTGTGTTCAACATGGAGAAATATGCAGAGGATGGCTGTGCATTTGGGGTGACCCATAAAGGGTGCACCTGCCAGAGCAGATGTGCGGGTTAATGGACCAGCATTAAACTATACAGGGGTTTCCAGTCATGGCCAGGGCCTTGATCCTGGCACATTCACCCGTTTCTCAGCGCTGTGGGAGAACGTTGATGCTAAGCTGATCTGATTTGCAGTTGGCCAGTCAGGAAACCAGTAGGCCTACCCTCGCTCCACATCCTGTGTCCCCATGGTGCGTCCAGGGTGGGCATGTTGCAGGGCAGGTGAGCACCAGGACTGGTGTGTGCTCCCCAAAGGCTGCAGGAGCTCAGCATGAGACGTGTACCTTGTGTTGCGGATGCTTACGGCGTGATCCAGAGATGCTTCATTCAGAGGTGCAGGTGTGGGATGAGTGGGTGTGTACCTGAGGCTGACCCTGTCTCCCGTGCAGGTCATTGTGGGGAGCATCTTTGAAGTGGTCTGGGCTGCCATCAAGCCAGGAACCTCCTTCGGGATCAGTGTGCTGCGGGCACTCCGGTTGCTGAGGATCTTCAAAGTCACAAAGTATGTTACCTATGTGCTCCCAGGTGAAGGGGAGAGGGGGAGTGCAGGTCACATCTGAGACTGGCCCACACAGCATGCTTCTTCCCAGGAATTCATGGTGATGGCCTTGAACTCAGCTGTCTGGAATCTCTTTTTGTGCTTATAATTGGTTTAAATACAAAAGACAGTTATAAAGCACCTGCCCAGCATGACTCTCTCTCGGCCCTGGGGGCCATATCTATCCTCAGGGTTGTTCCCGATTGGCCCTAATGTTGCCAGCAGGATTCCTAGTTTCTAGTTAGCTTGCTTCTTGTAGTTTCGTACTGTGCCCTCCTTTGAAACCAGCAGTCCCATCTTTCAACTTTCAAAGGGTTACTTTGCTTCATGGTTAACAGAGAAAAAAGAAGTTATCACATGGAAGTTTTTTTATCATCACACCCCCAAGTCTTCCCACCTCCCCTGCAGCCCCCCCCCCCCAGAAAGGGAGGGAGGCCTCAGCTGACTCTGACCTGACCTGAGCCAGCTTGGTTCCTCTGTGGCTCCCGTTCCCAGGCCTGCTTTCTCCACCCTGTGCTTCCCTGTTTAAGCTGTGGCAAGGGCAGTGACAGGCCTGTGTCTTCTCTTCTATTCCAGTTGGTTCTTTATGGAACCCTGGAAGCCAGTTGCACCGTTTTGTCTCCGAGGGGGCTGAGGCCCAGGGCGGAGGTGTAATGCAGTTACTGAGCGAGCGCTGGGCCTCTCTGCTGGGGTTCTAGTGGTGGGAAGAGGTGGTGCGCTTCAGCCATGGCTGTCTCACCACAGCAAAGCCTGCTCTGCTCTCAGCTGCTTTTAGCTGTGGCTGTACACACACCGCAGCAGGGACCTCACCTACCCTGAATTTTGGACTCCTGTTGCATGAGTATGTAGCCCACACATGCTCCAGCATGGATTTCCATGCAGTCTCCCCAGCAGCCTGGACCATGACCGCTGCAGGACCCAAGGAGCAGAACTGTCAACAGTGAGCCTGTGCAGGAGGCCCTGGGCTCCAGGTCACCCCTCCAGTGACCTTTCAGAACCCCACTGATCTCCCCAGGGTAGATGGGAGTTCTTTTGGTCTTCTCCAGTCTGTTTTAAATCCAAACCTGAGACCATCTGAGGACATGATGGTGTCACTGCAGGAGAGTTTGGGCAGGAGTCTGGTCTAGCTGGGTGCACAAACACACACTCTTGTGTGGCATGTGGTTAGTCCTCGGTTGCTTCCCCGTGCCGTGCTGGTACATCGCTCCGGGAGGTGACTGCGAGACCTGCCTTCACCTTGGTTGCGGGGCCTGGTGTTTTAGGGGCTCTGCTTCCTTCCAGAAGCCAGGCCACCCCTGTCCTGAGGAGGGCTGGCTTTTCCAGAGTTTTCCAGCCCGTCTTCCATGAACCCTCAAGTGCCTTGTAAGAGAATCCATGGAAGAGAGGTGAGCCTCTGTGCCATTGGCCCTTGGGAGGACAGGGCCAGGGACGCTCGGGGCCTGCTCTCTGTCCTGCCACCAGGGTGATGGAGACACAGTGTGTAGTATGTCTCAAGGTGGCTGGAGGGAAAGCCATGTGCCCCAGCCTCTTCTGGGGAGGAGCTCTCCAGAGGCGGACATGGGGTTGGACCCCCAGTCACCCCGTGAGTGAGCTGTCAGCAGTCAGGCCACCATGGACTTTAGTGGGGCCCGTGTGCCATTGGGTCCAGTTGCATGAGACATGCCCAGAGACATGGTCTCTGGCCTCCAAGAGCGTTTGAAATGTGTGATGGAGGGGTGGGTATTGTGGGATGCCAGGGAAATGGTCTTGCAGCACTGCCCCCCCCCCCCCCCAATCGAAGCTGTGTCCTGGGCCCTCGCTGAGAGGGGCATTCACACCGGGTTATACATCACGCCTCACAGCACTGAGGACCGGCTCGATGCAGGCCAGTGGGGCTGATTATGTCCTGCTGCAGCTCCTTCTCTACTCGTGGTCTGAGCGGAGACACCTGGAAGCTGCTTGGGTGTTGAGGGGTGGAGAGGGATCGGGCACCATTCTGCCAGGCAGAGTGACAGGGGCAGGTTCAGGAGATGAGGGTGAGTTCAGCTATGGATACAGGGTCTCTGCTGCCCCCAGTGGAGGAGTCTGGAACTCTCTGGAGAAGAGCTCTGGCCTCCAGGTGTGGGGCCTGTGGGGTTTAGAAGGCCTCGGAAACCACAGGTGTGACTGGGAGAGCCCTGGAGTGTGGCATCTGCATGCGGGCTGGTGCCTCCGCGTGGGCGCAGCTGGGTGTGGACACACCCCACCTGCCCCGACAGGTACTGGAGCTCCCTGCGGAACCTGGTGGTGTCCCTGCTCAACTCCATGAAGTCCATCATCAGCCTCCTCTTCCTGCTGTTCCTGTTCATCGTGGTCTTCGCTCTGCTGGGCATGCAGCTGTTCGGGGGACAGTAAGTGGGCCCTGGGCAGGGGGTCGTATGAGGCTGGGGGCCCCACTGGGAAGGCAGAGCTTAGAACAGATGTGCTGCTCAGGCCCCCTCCACCTGTCTGCCGCTTGGAGGTCCCCCAGGGGGACAACGGGACAACGGCGCCGAGCACACAGCCCACCCACAGCCTGGGACAGCGTTGCAAGCTGAGGGGCCAGATCCCCTGGCTTCTGGTGGGACGGCCTCCTCCCAAAAGACTTCTTGTTTCCCTCAGGTTCAACTTTAAAGATGAGACCCCGACAACGAACTTTGACACTTTCCCCGCGGCCATTCTCACTGTCTTCCAGGTAAGGCTCCTGACTCTTGGCACACTCCTGGCCTGCTCAGCTCTCCAGGTATGGGCAAGGCAGCCTTCCCTGTCAGCATCTGCACAGCCAGACAGCCACCATTTCAGACAGAACCTCCCAGAAAACAGGAGAGAACAAGTGGGAGATGACCATAGGGAGGTCTCCAGTCCTTGGGACTCTGCCACCAATCTAGAGCCTGGGTCTGGAGGGAAACTGGGTCCCAAGAAGCATGAGTTCCCTGGGGGTTCAATGGTCCTGTGGCCACTGGGCTTCAAGCCACCACTTTCTCTCCCAGCCCCTGGGAGCTGGATCACAGCTGTCTTACCCTTTGAGAATAAAACAACAAAGTGCTATGCATGCTTCTCCCTCCTGTTTGTCAGGCCCAGGGGTCCTTCAATTCTCTTTTGTGTCTAGAGATCACGCCCGCCACGGCTCCTCGGGAAGCTGAGTTGCCTGTGATGCAAACCTTGTCACTCAGGCGATCTCTGCCCTCTCGGAGGGGTTCCCTTTTGAAGACTCTCTTGGTTGAGCAGTTGGCCCCCTTGCAGGGCTATAGCAGCACCCCTGATGTCCCCCATGACTGGCCTCACCGATAGGATAATGCCAGATGTTTCTGTCTTATGAAGCCTCCTTGGATGCCATGCCTGCTATTGAGCAGGTTGGGGTGGGTTGTTGTTTTGCCCAGGATGACTCTTAGGGAAGTCCAACAGGCTCAGCTTAGCCCCTGGCCTCTGGGGCTGCCCTTGGTCTCCAAGTTGGGGCCTCTAGCAGAGGGCGACCATGACCTTTCCTCTGCAGTGTGATCTGTTCAGTGATGGGAGGGAGCTCCTTCCTGCTGTGGGGCACTAGGGCTGCCCTGTGGGACCTTGAAAGTCAGGCAAGGGGAATCAGCGGAAATGTCTTCCAGACACCGCAGTAGGAAGGTGAGTGGAGTCAGGGCAGCAAAGGCATAGGGTTTGTGGCAGAAGGATTGGGGCTGGCAGAGGTCAAGTTGGATGGGCCTTCAGGGCCAGGCCCACAGGCTTCGCCAAAGCAGGGAGGTGACATGATTGACAGAGCTCTGCTTTGTTCTGTCTGTTGCAGGAAAGGAGTGGAATGTGGTTGGTTAATGGTGGTGGTGTGGGACAGAGGGGAAGAGGAAATCAAAGTTAGAGGGAAAAGATGGGTTCTTCTGGTCAGATTATGCTCTGGTTTGGACCTCAGACCCCCCTCTGCTCTGGAACATGGCAGTAAGAGAATAAATACATCTAGAAATTAAAAGGATCCAGCCGAGCAGAAAACAAACTGTGGGCTGGAAATGGAACAGTAAGGAGAGATGCAGAGATCGGGGCACCTGGGATGTGGTCCGGGTGAGGCAGGTGGGCTGGGCATCAGAAGCATCCACGTGTGGCCTGCCTGACTCGTTGCTGGGGAAGGTGTGTGGCCCTTTGAGGAGCAGAGGAGCAGAGCTGGGAGAGGGTGACTATGGCTGGAGGACGCCGAGAAATTCACAGGGGCAGATGGCTGGCCAGGCCAGGCTTGCACCTTCCATGGATGGTGCTGGGCTGGGGCCTGAGACCCCAGGATGGGAGTTCACTCTTGCTTCTGAACGGGGCTGGAAGGGGTAGGGAGAGTGTGTGACCAAGAAGAAAACATCAGGTCTGCTCATGATAGTGAGCAGTTGGCATCTAGCAGGCAGACTGAACCGTGGTGAAGCTGACCCCACCGAAGAGGGTGGACAGCACGTGCAGTGGGAAGGTGAGCTCACTCCGAAAGAAATGGGAATAAGAGAGCAATGCAGGTGACTTTGCATCAAATGTGCCTGTGGTCTACCCAGTGTTTGAGGAAGAACTTGTAACACATAACACAGAATTATGGAAGAAAATACCTGAGAACCAAGAATGGGTTAATATGAGAAAGAACTAAGTAGAAGTCCTAGGAATGAAAAATAGTGCTTTTAAAATAGAAAAGTAAAGGGCCAAATATACCGTGGACACGACCTAAGAAAGGATGGGTGAGCTGGAAGATGTGGGGGAACTTGGGGGTGAAGCCCAGCACTGTCCCGGGCAAGTCTTAGAGGGCATGCACTCGGAGGACCAAGCAAGAGTAATGTCAAACCTGGATGTGTTGTGATAAAGAGAGAGATTCCCCACAGAAGAATGACAGTCTGATGGCAAGGGTCAGCGAAGGAACTTAGAAATCCTGGGGGACAGCCCCCATGACCCCAGAATGCTGATCCAGAGAGCCGAGGTTCAAGCTCGAGGGGGAACTGGACACGTTCAAATGCAGATATGGAGAGAGCTACCAACCCCTGATTGCTGAAAGCACCACAGACGTTATACATTTAGCAAAGCCAATGATTTAGGAAAAATAAAACAAAACATTACACTAACCCAAGAAGAAATTAAAGACCTGAACTATTTCAGAAATTGAATGATTAAAAATCTGCCTACCCAAGCCACCATGTTCTGGTAATTTTATGAGTGAATTCTACTAAAATTTAAGAAAGACGTTATTCCAATTTTATGCAGATGACTCCAGAGAAGACAAAAAGGAAGGTACCCAGCTGCCTTTAAGAGACTAGAATAACCTTGATAAAACACCATAAGTGAACTAATGTGAGTCCACTGCTTGGTGACTCACAGGAAGAGACCTCAGTGGGGGGTGGGTTGTTGTTCAAAGGAAGCTTTTATTTGCAGTAAATAAAGAGATCACAGGGAATAACTTCCAAAGCCATGACTCCCCATGTGGGGATGAGTGGGTTCCTTCGATTTAGGGCTCAGATGAATATTCAGAAAGGGGAGCTTTGTCAGTGCATATTAGAGGTGGGCATAAGGTCACGCATGCTCACTCAGGAGACACGTCTATACGTGCATCGTTTGTACGTCATGCTAATGGGGTTTGTGCTCCCCCGTGGAAGGAGACTTTCACATTAGAATGAGGCAGAGGGAATTGCCCCACACTGCACGGCCTGCCTACACAGGTGGGAGTCAGTGACTGAGCTCTTCCTGAAAAGATAAGGTTAACATTCATGTGAATAAGAAGGGGGCTCAGTGGGGGTCTTAGGTCATGATCACAAACGCAGAGACAGAAGGGAAGTAATATGTAATCAAACTGGATACGCTTGTAAATTAACAAATCATCTTTATGATCAACTTGACTTTACCCTAGAAATGCAAGATGACTTAACATTGGAAAGCCTATTAATGTAATTCATCATCTTAGCCAGTTAGGGTAGGAAAAAACCGTGTGATCAGAAAAAACATGTGACTCCAGCAAGACCACGGCACAGAGTCGAGAGGACAGAAGAAACAACATCTGGGAGATTTGTCCACTCTGGAAGCCGGGTGATGAGGGCGTGGGGATTCAGCACTCTCTGTGTCTGTCTGGGAATGTGCATAACACATTTTTTCTAAAAAGATAAGATCACATGATAAAAGCCAACACTCCTTCCAAGTAAAAACTCTTAGATTATGCTGGTGTCTGTGGTCTGCAGTAGGACAAGAAAATATGAAACACAGTTTCTCAGGATTGATAAGGAAGAAAGAATATTCACAGCTAAAATATTTGCACACACAGAAAACTGAAGTGTTGTGTTTGCAGATGGTATGGGACAATTTGGTTGACCATAGAGCAAAACATGAAATTGGGTTCCTACTTTGTTCTGTATTTGAAATCAGTTTGGATAGATTAAGACCTAAATGTGAAGAGCAAATCTGAAATTTTAGGAGGATGCACAGGAGTGTAATGGTACTAACTCAAGGTAGGGAAATCCTTCTTAAGCGATAAGAAGCACAGATCATAAAGGAAAATATTGACAAATTTGACTGTTAAAATAGAAATTCCTGTGCATCAAAAGACACCACAAAAAGGTTTAAAAAATGTCATGAACTTGGAGAAGACATTTCCACAGTATTAGAATAACCACTGAAGTGTCCAAGACTTACCAAGAACTTCCACAAATCAAAGAGAAAGACAAATAATATCTGGGAAAGGCAGAGTGTAGACAAGCATCTCATAGGAGAGGAAGTTGGGCTGACGAATAAACCAGTAAGAACAATTACCAGTGTTGCTAGAGATGCAAATTAGACCCACCATGAGACAACCTCTCCACCTGTCAATTTAGCAGAAGTTAAGAAATCTAATATCAAGTTATAGAGGGGATGTGGCGAAATGGAGATCCCCTTATGCTGTTGGTGGGTTGGTAGAACCACTGTGGGTAATAACGTCGTAAAACCTAATAACTGGGACTTGCGTAGGGGTGGTTCCTGTTGTGGGTCTGTGCTCGGGAAAGTCCTCTGCCCAATTGCACAAGGAGAGGTGCGTGTGAGGTATCATAGCATTGTTACTTATAATCGCAAAAAACTGGAAGTCACCAAAAATGTCCATCGTCACAAGAATGGATAAGAAAAATGTGTTGTATTATCTGTATAGCAGGAACATGAACGACCTAGAATTAAATGTGTTAACATGGATGAATCTCACAAATATAATATTAAGCAAAAAGAAAGTAAGATTCAAAATAATGCACAACATATGATGCTATTTAAATAAGGATGAAAACATGCAAAACTGTTGTTTATGGCATCCATGCAGTGAAAGTATAAAAGCTTGCATGGAAATGAGAAACACCAGATTCAGGGTGCTGTGCTGCTGGGAGGTGGGCTGGAGCAGTTCTACTCAAGGGGCGCCACCTCCTTTGAATGCTATAGTTGTCAAGCCAGGTAGTGGGTACATGGAGGTTTGTTAAAAATTATTCATCATTCCTTTCTGAATGTTTGAAATAGTACATAATTAAAAAATCAAAGGATACACAAAGATAAACTAAGTAGAAATCATCAAAAAGAAAGCTGGTATAATATTAACATCAGCCAAAATTCAAGTTAAGAGAAAAAAGCTTTAGTAAAAATAAAGAAGTGCATTACAGAACAACAAAAAGAAGGCAGCAATCTTGAACCTGCATGACCTCACAACATGACCTAAAAATATACTGAGCAGCAACTGATAGAAACACGTGGAAGTCCACATCTTACAAGAGGTTTGTAATACATTTCTGTCAATCCATAGGATGAGGCTGAGGTCTATGGAACTCTGCACCCAGCCGGACAGCAAACAAAACAGTCATTGTTTGGGACACATAGGACATTCACAGAAACTGACCACTTGTTAAGTCACCCAGGAAATTCCTACAAATCTTGGAGAATTGTCATCCTACAGAGCACATTCTTGATGTAATGTAAATAAACAAACCATGTGTAAAAAATTATTATTAAAACCTAAAGGCTGAAGGACTGAGCTAAAGAAGACATCACAACAGACCTTACAAAATACTTAGAAGTGAACAATGACATCAAAACTTATGGAATGATGTGGAAACAATACTTGGAGGAAAATTTATAATCTCAAATGCAGTCATCAAAATAAAAGAAAGACTAGAAATAAACTAGTGATGTACTTATCTTAAAAACCTAGAAAAGCGAACAGGCAAACCAAAGAAAAATTGAAAGCAGGAAAAAATGGTTAATAAGCAGACATTAGTGACACAAAACTAAAACAGCAAGACAACAAAATCATATAAAGCTTGCTCTCAGGAAGACTAATACAGGAGACAGCATCTTGGCAACACTGGCCGAGAGAAAAAGCACAGATGAAAAGTTTAGCCTGGAAGGGAGGCCTACCTGCAGGAAAGGGAGAGATTGTTTTAAATCCCAAAGAATATTATGGCCAGAGATTTGAAAACTAAGATGAAAATGCACTTTCATAGGAAAGCCTCAAACACATAAATTAGCTCAAGAAGGAATTAAAAACCTGGATAGCTTTCTAACCATTAAGGACAAGGGATCTGTAGAGCTCTTTTCCTGCCCTGGGCCTGGCAGGTATAAGATGAGTCCTACCAAGTGCATAAAGTTCACTTGTGCTACTGAACACAAGATCAACATACAAAAATGTAGCTTTCCTATGACTTAACCATTCAATTAGAAAATTCAATTAAAATGAAATATTTCATTCCAGAGGCAACAAAAGCTATGAGGCACCCAGAGATCTACAAACAGCATGCAAGACTTTTATGGGTGAAATTAGGACTTGTTGTCAAAGGACCTACAGATCTGGGTACACAGGCGATATATTTATAATGGGGAGTGGCAAAGACATCTGCTCTCCTAATTTAGTCTCTTGGAATTCAGCATATTGATAATGTGGAGGAGTCAACGTCCAAGAACTGTCAAGTCGATTCAGGAAGGAGGGGTCTGCCTCACCATGTGTCAAGAGTTTTTACGAAGCAGGAGGATTGTGAGGTATGAAGAGCAGACCAAAGAAGCCAGAAATGTGGCCAGGCTAGGCAGGAAGCTGGCCGTAGGAGGGGGATGGGCACAGAGTATTTTAAAAAGTAGGTCTGTGAGACCTGGCTGTCCACTGGGAAAAAGGTTGATCTTCATCCCTGAGTGTACACAGAATAGTAACCACAAACTCCAGGTGGATTCAAAACCTAACTGTGTAAAACCAGACTTTAAAATGGTTTGAAGAAAATACAGAAGAATATTTTTATTGCCTTTGAATGGAGAGGAATTTCTTAGATGCAGGGCACTTTGTCATAAAACAGAGGCCAGCCGCGAGCATTTCCAGTAGTTCTGCAGACAGAGGCAAGAATGAGCAAGAACACACGGAACGCACGGGAAGTCTCAGTCAGTGGGAGGAAGAAGAGGCATATCCGGGATGTGAGACTGTCGAAGAGGCCCCAGAGGACAACACCTGACCGGCTGGCCCTCTCACTCCTCAGCCCGGAGCAGTGCCCACCACAGGTGTAGCCTAGGGTGAGCGCTTCGGAAACCCCTTGTAAAGTCAGAGGTGCACATGGCCTGCTCCCTGGCCGTCCCAGCTGTGGGCAGACCTTCCACGAGTGCAGTGAGACTCGGTAGCAAAATCCTGGAAAGAAGGAAGGTGCCAGTCAAGAGGCGTGTGGGTTGTTGGCCTGAAGGGTTGGTGTTCGGTGGGGGACAGGAGTAGGTGGATTTGTGTGCCTTGTGTGGATAAACTTCAAAGATACGATACTGAGTGAAGACAGCAAGCTGGAGAACGGTGCGTGTCGTTTGATACCTTCCTGTGAGTGTTTAAAACACGCGTGGTGTATTTTGTTTATAGATACATGTGTGTCGTGTGAGTGGAACTCTACTGACATGGTTCCTCACCAGGTTTGTGATTGGGGTCGTCTGTCGGGAGTGTTCACGGGCAGTGGGACCTGATGCAAATGGGACAAATGTGAGCAGTGTCCATTTAGATTGGTGGACACGTGAATGTCTGTTACGTTCTCCTCTTGTACTTTTCCAAAAATACAGTAGCAAAGAGAGACATGTTTCCTAATGGGGCAAGGATTGCATTTAGCCACCCTCTGTGCTGGACCCACTGTCACCTAGACTGTAACATCCTGGCCCAGGTGGCCCTGGGAGTGGGGAGTTCTGCCTCCCCAGCCCGGCCTCATCTCTCCAGCTCATTGCTGCAATTCTCCTCCTTGCCTTTGCTCACCTTTTCCTTCGGCTTGGTGCTCCCTTCCATTTTTGGCCGAAAAGCTAGAGCATATTCATCTTTCGAGGCCTGACCCAGCTCAGCAGCCATGTCTTTATGGAAGTTTTTCTGGAGGACCGTGGGCCACCTTGACCTCCAGAAGCCCCAACATCTAGAAACCTGTGTGTCTGTGCACATGTACCCGTGGGTTCCTGGGACACAGCCATGTCTTGACCCTGAGCGTGCACACGCATGTGCACGTGGGTGAAGGTGGCCATGCAGGCGGGCCCTGTGGTG